TTATAATAATCTATATCTAAAATATCGATTCAATATCTATAGGGTTGAATGGATGGTAGTTAAAATTATTATTAGATTATAGTGATTATTGAAGGTTAATGTGTATATATATATAAATCATCACTACTTTCATACTAACCTGTGATAGAAATAATTATTCTCTTATATCTTAGCAACCACTAGGTATTTTGAATTAATATTTATATATTTAGATAGCCTAGATCTAGGGCTATCTAGTGATATCAAAATTATTAGATATATCCTAGAAATTAGTGATTTCTATCCAAAATGGTGAGGGTTGGTTAGTCGAATCCAATAAAACCTCAAAAATCAAATCTGACGGTTTTAACCAAACTCGAAACAGTTTCACCCTACCTAAACCGAAACTGAAGTGATTCCCTAGGCTAGGAACCGAACCCTCACCGCTGCGAGTTCGGTGAGTGTTGGATTCGATTTTAGCGGTTCGGTTATGCAACTCTATTCCTACTTCATTTAGTGAAGTGTCTGCAAAGCTAATCACTTTAATAGATGGGCTACATCAGGTTAATAGGATCTTGATTAATTGATTCATTGATTGGCCTTTGGGTTATTGCCAAGGCCATCAAAAAGTGTCCAATCTACAGCATTGTTAGACCGGCCGTCTTTGCAAGATTCCTGCCCAGGGCGGTTCCCAAAGTTCCCTGGAACCCCAAACCCTTTCCACGACTTTTCGGCGGCATTTACTGCCCAAGGCGGTTAGGCTAGGCTTCCAGGAGATATACGCGTGATCTGAGGGAGTTTCAGAACCCCTTGCTGTCTGAAACTGATGTCCAGATACTTCCTGAGGTGTGGATTATCCCTTTTAACTGACATGCTTATGGTTTGCTAATAACCAGAAAATCATGGAAAAAGGGGGCCATGCTCATCGACAGTTGAAGGCCAAAAATAATATAGACTAGATTGTGACAAGCGGCTAGGCAGGGAAGGACGAAGAAAGCTCCCATTCAAAAGTGGAGTCTTCGGCATCGTGTCTGTTATTTGGAGTAGATTTAGGCTACAACTCGTACTCGTATGTTCTTCCTCGTTACCCGATATTACTCTGAGAACCAGTCTGGCTGCTGTGGATAAAACAGCTCAAACCTACCCACTGCATTCACCTCGAAATAGCGATGAATTGATGACCATTGGCAATCACCATGAAGAGTGAGTCAATCTCAATTTTTTGTGCTAAGATATACTGTATAACCTCGGAATCAGCAATCAGACTCTCATCAGCAAAGAGGGCGATAAATGGAACTACTCTTGTTCCTTACAGGGAACTGGGGGGAATTTGTTCTAAAACAGTCAGATCCTACTAATATTCGTCATTTAAATGCTGCCTAAAGCGTTGTGTGAAGGCTGAGTCAATGTACCAAATGGTAACATTAATCATTTAGCATGGTATCCACATTTGCCCTGTTCTCCTTGCTGTCTACCGTGGGATAGTTAACTTTAACTAGTAATATATTGTTTACTCACGGCATAGTCAAGGGCCTTAGCACTAAATCCTACCCTTAAATATGCGTCAACTCTGTTTTCAGTCAGCGGCAGCTTCGCACTTCGCCATTTACTACCTCAGCGGCTCTAAGCGCAGTTCAGCAAACATACAGTGGCGCCGAGTTGTCTCCCATTAAAATCGCCGCCATCGGTAGGCAGCAGCAAAGCCACGCAGTAGTTAATCGCCGAGGAAGGGAGGAGACTCCGATGGATCTGTTCATCTCCATTGAGCAGACACTTGTTTTAAACTTGGGCCCAAATTTTAGTGGTTTGTGGGGCATGCTCAACTAGATAATCTAATTTTACTTTTTCGCCCCGGCTTTTGTTTGGAGACAAGTCGACTAAAATATAATGAGTGCATGTTATGCGCTGTTGCTAGGCAGCTACATTAATACATTCATGGCTTGGTTTGGCGTACTAACTCTCGCACTCAGATGTGGATCATTAAATGACACCAGCTGGGACAACACGAGAATTGGAGATATCAGCACCAAAACAAGCAGTGGGGCTATACGAACGTCATGTCAGAATTTCCTGCTGTAATGATAGTTAATTCCGCCTAAAATCGAAAACCGAAATAGTGCCAAGGGAAGTTCCACCTCATTTTCGTCTTTCCAGATGTGAACCAGATGCAGGCTCACCAAAGTATGTTAGTCCTGGTCCCTACACTGTGCGTTCAAGTAAACCTTTGTTTCAGGGCTGTGGCCCCATGGTGAGGTTAGGCATCCTAGTAAAGAATATGCCTCGTGGCGGTGCTAATGTCTCAGGAGACTTTGGAACGATAGCTATTTTTCTGGCGTCTATCTGTCATACTTATCTTATTTATATTGAGCGCCCAGGATGGCTCAAAAGACAAGTCAATCATATAGGAATTCGAATGCGAGTTAACCATGTCTCTTCTTGCATTCGGGCTGTCTTTTTCATACCTCTATCTAACGGGCACGTTAGTATTTGATACGGTCCATTGGCTCCTCCATAAATGGTCTAAATCACAGTGGAGATTCCTTCGTTGGCTTTCATACTGCCACCAATTTCATCATCTCTACTACAACCGCTCGCTAAAGTTCAACGATCGATACTCACGACAAAATTCATGGATCGCATTACCTCTTGAAATGCTCTGCAAAGTTTTGGGAAGCGTAGCTGGATGGCTACTTGCCCGGCACTTGATGGCATATAGCAAACGAACCATCGATACCGTGCCTTTACTCGTGGTGTCCGGATTCGAGATTATACGAACTGTTGTTGTCATTGCCATGGGAGGTCGAGACTCGAATCACATCGCGTTCAACACCGTCCCTAAAGACCATAGCTGGCTTTTTGTCGGGCCCGAATACCACGCCTTACACCACGTCTATCCCGAGCGATACATGGGCTCGATGGTTAAAGTATTTGACTGGGTGGCGGGAACTGCATACTCTCTGCGGAACAAAAGGGTCATCCTCACAGGCGGATCGGGCGCGTTTGGGTGCGCAATAGAGAAACAGCTCCTGTCGGAAGGGGTGAAGGATATTAAGAAGTTACACTTCGGAAAAGACTGGACTCATCATGACGTCTCTGGCGTCGGCCACCTTCTGGAAAAATCTGATATCCTTATCCTAGCACATGGTACCAAAGGAATGGATGCCATGGATGCTAATTGCAACTCGACCATGCGCCTCATCGAAGTCTTCCTCGGACGTAAAGCTGCTGACAATACTCGCCAGGCCAAGACAGTCCCGGAGATATGGTATGTAGGCAGCGAGATTGAAGTTCACCCTGCATGGGGGAATCCAGAAATGCAACGATACTCCGCCTCAAAGCGGGCCTTCCTACCTTATGCTCGAGCCCTATATGACGATCCTCGGGTAATTTACCGTCACATTGTACCTGCGGCCTTTGAATCCCGTATGGGTAAAGCAATTGTTTCGCCAGATTGGGCTGCCCGTGTGGCACTATGGTGGATTCGTCGTGGCGCTTATTATGTTCCTGTCACCTACACGGGACTCTCTTTTTTGAACTTCTTCAAGTTCCTTCTTTTGGTTCGCCCATGCACAAAGGCATATCGTGAGTAGTAGCACAGACTACTTCTACAATTGAGTTTATGCAGCATATAGAGATTGTTTAACTACATTCAGTGCTTTCTGGTCTATGTACATAGCGAAGAGGGTGGAGCTATATAGGGGAAGTATCCGAAGTATTTCCTAGGGAAAGGATCTCATTTTCTTCGATATACATATTCTCCATTTCAATTATTTCTTAAATGATATATAAGAGTCCCTTGATATCTACACAAGAGCATACCCGCCGCATTTCTTTCCTTACTCAAAACCACAAGCTACAGATAGAGGTTGGAAATTTGACCTCTATGAGACCTTTACATGGACCAGGACGTCTTGGCGGGATTTACTGCTCGGGTACCCTAGTGTGAGGTTCCTCAGATCCGGAAACTTTGACATGGACCAGGGCGACTTGGCGGGATTTACTGCCTAAGATGGTTAAGCTAGGCTGCCAATGTTTCGGAGCATTTCCTATTTAAGATTTGATGTGTAAATATTTCTAAGGTGTGAAATCTGAAGGGAAACGCTCGTTCCAACTGGGGTTGGACTACCCGAACTCGGACCAAATGCAACTCTAGTAAAAAAGGCTTATATAGGGGGGTAAGGGTGCCCACTAAGGTTAGGATGAAAAGTGGTATAGAGATATATATATCTAATAACTACCATCCTAATTACTATTATCTAAAATATAAAATCACCCATAACTCCAGTTTTTCTTAGTAAACTTAATATTTTAATTTTTATATATATAGATATAATTACTCTCTATCTATTTATACAAAAATATGTCCCTATCTAGGCCTAGGTTAGGCTAGATAAGCTTATTAGTTCTTAGAGGCCTTTGGTCACATGCACCCAATGGTTTAACCTATATCTATATGGATTAGGCAGGTTCAACCCATATCCACATGGGTTGGATCAGGCCTACCTACATCCAACCCAAACTGCGGATTGGGTCAGCCAGTCTAGCCATACCCCGTAATGCAAAGCTCTATATTAATTGTGTTCTCCATCTCCGAGCCTCCAGGGCTTGTGAAACTTTATGCTTTAGATGCAGCTAAATTGCTGGATGACAAGCGCCATGTTTGTTCTTCGATGGCTCCCGATCCCTCCCATCAATTATCTGTCCTCAACGGCCTGCTCATCAATAATTGTCGAAGCAAGCTCAAAATAGTATATGGGCTAGTATGCTCGTAACAGGCCTCTTGGCTGCAGAAGCGGACGGAAAGCAGGAAAATGATAAGTCTATTTCATAACAGCTGGACTGTATGTAGCGAATATAAATACCTACTATTCGTAACATGCCTAGATAGCCCTTCTCTGCTTTACTGTCTTCGTCATCCTTAAAAGACAACTATGGTGCCCATGACGCAAAGACTCACCCTTTCAGAGCACCTTAGCCCCAACACCAGCATCATAAAGCACTGTTGAAGCATACTCGACAATTCAAGACCCTACTTTTGATCCCGGGATTAAAAGCCTCGTTCTCTGCAATAATGTCAGTCCCAGCTCAATCCTCCGTCCTATGTCGGTACATACCCCCAAGAAAACCGCCATTACCAAACTCAACGCCCCACCAACCAAGAAAAGCAACCACAGGCTACTCATCGCCTCCGTGATCTGCGGGATTACCAGATCCTTATCCTTCTCGGAAAGGCCCTTGTACGTGCGACTGTTCACCCCGGCAATGAGGTCGGCGATCTGCCCCGGCGAGGCATTTGGCTGGACGGGCGCTATTTTGCGGAGAGAGAGGTTCTGATAGAGCGTGCCTGAGACGGCGAGGAAGACGGTCATTCCAAGGTCTTGGCCTTAGCTGTTGTTAGCACTGAAGTTGCAAGGTATGGGGACGTAGCTAAACAAGGGGAAGTCTGACAGATAGTCATTGCGCCGACGGCGTTGGGGATGTCGTGTGCTGGTACGAGGGACTGCATGATTGCGAATCCGGCGACGAGGTAGCAGCCTGATCCGGCGCCGACGAGGATCGTGTACCCGTATATTCGGGAGGTGGGCGTGTGGGTATCGACCGTGTCTGGATGCACAGATAGGATAAGCGGTAGAACGGCCAGGGCATGCCTGAGCTACTTACACATCAAAGCGGAGCCGACGATAATGAGACTGCTCCCGACGACGTACCAGGGCGTGACGTAGCCGAATCGTGGCATCAGGGCCCCGTTTAGAAGGGAGAAGAATACCATCAGAATGATGAAGGGGAGAAGACGGACTCCTGCTTGAAGGGGTCCATCGCCCTAGTTGGGAAGCATTAGCATACATGGTCGATGATAGTCGACGGAGCATATACCCTAAGGAACTGGAAGAAGAGTGGGATATAATATGTCATTGTCTAGAGGGGAATCGACTCAGTCAGCGCTCGCTCGTTGATGTCAATGACTAGAAACAGAACGACTCACCAGCATAATCCCGGAAACAAGAAACACCTGTAACTGCAGGTTCATCAGCACCGGCCGTCTGAAGAAATGCGCGGGATATAGACGATGCTCCTTGGAAACGCCAGGATGGTAGATCGTCAACCCGATTGTGAGTATCAAGAAGAAGCCGGCAAGAGTCCACAGCGCAATCTCCTGCCCGGAATGCCACTGATATGTGGTCCCGCCGAAATTGATCGCCATGGTGAAGCACATGGACCCTGCGAGGAAGACGACGGTGGTGATCCAGTCCATCATGCGAAGCTTCTCCGCTATTGATTTGCCTGGCTGGGTGGGATAGCTGGGGAAGAGCAGAAAATACGCGGGCGAGAAGACAGCCCCTATGACGAGGTTGATGTAGAAGGCCTGGCATGTTCGCGATTGTTAGGAAGGGACGGAATGAGTGTATATAGGAGTGATAATCATACCCATCGCCATGTTGCACTGCTGGTAGCAAACGCACCACCAACCTAGTAGAAAGGAAGTAAGAAAGTGCTATAAAGTGATGATCATGACCAATGCTCAGTTGGATCCATACCACCGGACCAAGAACGCTACCCAACCCCCACAGCACTGCGATACCAGACATATACAGCGGCCGCTCCTTCATCGACGTGAGAACAGCAATGTACATCAAGGACCCGGCGTGCATGCCACAACCTCCAATGCCGGCAATGACCCGTGCAATGATCAGAACCGTCATGCTAGGCGCTGCACCGCAGATGGCACTGCCAACCTCGAAGAGGAAGATATTGAAAATATACAACCATTTGATGTTAAAGATCCCATACGCCTTGGTCCAAGGCAGAATGGTCATGGTGCCGAGCGCAAAGGCCACGCCAATCCATGGGAGGAGCTCCACGTGCCCGAATCGATCGAGGATGGCAGGTTGGATGTCGGCCACATTGAAGTAGGTCAGTACGATCTTAACGAGGCCCGTAGAAAGGTTACATACAATGGTATTATCTAGCGCGAAGAGAAAAGTAGTGGATAACATAGAGCCGTACGCTGTCGCCCACTGCAGGGCGTTAGGATCGGCTTACTTGGCTGGAAAAGGCTGCTCACCTTCCACCCGTGGAGGGAGCGAGGCGATTTCACATCTTCACTTGCAGTGATCGTACTGGTACTGGTGTCGGCCGATAGTGCTGCTTCGTTGTGGCGTTGCTTCTGCTCCGCCATTGTGATTTCGGCCATGATTGCTGGTCGTTCGTCTGCCACGGGAGCGGTTGAAGAAGTAGCTATTTTCGGGACGTCAGTGAAGAAACTAAATTCGCTCGGGCAGGTTAAATGGGTGAACACCGTACAAATTCAGGCCACCGCTCCATGAACCAGCGGAGCAGCTCGGCCGCTCCACGGCCGCTTGTGCAGCTGCAGTCTTGGCTGGATGACAAGGACCATGCGGGCTTCAATTTTAAGTGAGGTTGTAAGGATGGAAGGAATGCGGAGGATCCGAAGATCGAGCAGCAGTGAGGTCGCGTACAGGCTACATGCTAGCCTAGTCAGGGAGTAATGCAATATATTCACAACGATATACTTGATTGCTGTATTCCTCATTGTTTCTCTCAGAAGTGCGGGGATAGCTGCCTCTGTGTCACGTGATATGGTTCATCACAGAGGTAAAATTGAAATTATATCTACTATTGTGCAGAGTTGGAGAAGGATGACGCGCCTTTATTGGTCAGTGATCTTACGAGGTAGAGGTAGGAAGCGCCCAGTAGATAGAGCCTCGCACCGGTTCTGCCTTTTGCTCTTATAGGGATAGTATTCATCCCTTCTCTCCAGCTCTTGAGACCATATCCTATAAGTTACACGAGCAGCTGGTCATGAGCTAAACCTGCGATTGCCATTCGTGCTGGTGAGCTCTGTGAAGCTATATGACCATCTACAGGACAAGTTTCCCATCTTCGGCCTCTGCTCATTGTTTAAATCTCTCGTTCCTGGTCTCCAAAAACTCGGAGATCAGCCCGCAATAATCCTGTGGGCGGTATGGACTCAAGAGCTCTGCAACCGGATTATTCTTGCGCTTCGTCCGTAACCCCAAATCTCGCATAAGGGTATCGATATACTAGCCAAATGTAAGCACCACCGGGAAATCAACTGCACCGAGTCCAGGTACTCACTGAAATATAGTCGTAGACCATGTACGCGTGCTTCTTCCCCTGTTCAAGATACCGTTTCCTAGCCCAGGCATTGAAAGTAGCACACTCCTGCTCCATCTCCTCCTGAGAGGGCAGATCCAGCCAGCCCAGCATGAACGCAACACCCCACAGCGCCTGAACCTCTCCCGTCAACGGCGTATATCCGGAATGAATAGACCCCGGAAAGAAGACCGATCGGTCCCCGTTCGCCGCCAGATGGGGCACGACCAAGCGGCGATAGTGCCGATTGGGACTGTACCGGGGCTCTGCATCCCGCTTGAAGGGCGGATTAGGGGCTACCCGGAGCATCGGTAACAGGCGGTTGATCTCTTCTTCACCGCGGGCGTCAAATTTGCTCCAGCGGGGATGTTGCGTGTGAGGATCGTAGGACAGGTTGCATTCGCCCTGAAGGTCTGGGCTGAAGCCTTGGTAGGCCTTGTCGTAGCCGGTGCATGTGATGACCATGTCGGTTGCGACGGAGCGGCCATTCTTGAAGTTTACCACGTTTCTGTGTGAGAGGGACTCGATCTCGGTTCGGTGCATGGTCACGTCGCCGGCGTGGAAAACGCACCAGAAGTCGGGAACGGTGACGATGCCGAGTCCGCCGCTGCCCCAGAACATGCTGAATGGTTCAAGCTCGGTCAGTTGCTGAGCAGATAAAAAAGAAGGACATTCGACCTACCCATAACCCGGCGGATGTGGACGGAGCATTTCTGCATTGGGACTCTTCGAGTAGCCTGCGTGCTGGGCGGAGAGGAATGTCGACGTGCGCCAATATACCCGTGTCAAGATGCGGCCGACGGAGGATCGCTGAAGAAATTTATACAACCCACCGTTTGTATTCATGATACAAGGGCTGAAGCTGGCTGCCATGCGCGTGGAAACGTGCTCGGCGGTGCTCCACAGACCCAGGAAGGTGGGCGCAGAGATGGCAAACGGCCCCGACGGACTCTCGCGGATCACCCAGTCCACTTTCTTTCCGGCCTTGAGCAGGAGAAAGACCACATCGTACGACGACTTCGCAGCCCCGACAACTGTCGCTCGCTGTACGTGGTTGTGGATGTAGTCCATATGCTGGTTGAGGGACTGGGTGTGGACGACAGGTTGGTCGAACTCCTTTTGCGGGAATGAGGGTATGATCGGGTTCGAGGTAGGCCCAGTGGCGTAAATCAACTTCTCGCAGGACAGGCGGTGGCCCGTCGAGGTTTCCAACACCCAGCCCAGCGGCTCCTGGCGCTTTTCGACGCGGGCCACTCGCGTCTGCAGTCGAATACGCTGTATCAAATCGAACTCTACGGCAAATCTGACCAGATATTCATGGATCGTGTTTGCCGGGATGTAGCCCTGCGAAGATACACCTTCTCGCGGCATAGGAAAGAAAGAATACTGGAACAATGGATGGCTTATTTGCGCAAAGAGCGTGGGGTATATCTTTTCCTTGCTCCAGCAGCCGCCCACAGTCTGGCCATCATCTACAACCAGGAGGTTGGCTGAGGGAGCAAGTTGCAGGTATGTGTAGGCGGATATCAATCCATTCCAGCCTTGAATAGATTAGACAACATAAAGACAAGCCATGTAGACAGTAAGAAAGCAAGCTTACCTGCGCCCACAACGATCACATCGAAATCCTCCACTTCCATCATGTCAATGTCGTGATGATCGTCGCCGAGAGACAGGGAGATGTACGCACCCTCGGCCTTCAGCAAACCTCCCAAAGCCTCTGATAATATATCGAGGAAGGCGCCGAACTGTAGACGGAGGAAATTAGTCCGGTGCTCTGGAAGGGCTCGCGGCCCGTAGGCCATACCGAAGGACGAGAATGCTAAGCCCCCGTCGGCCGGCCGATCGGGCCCGCTAGTGCGAGGAGCTGACGAGCATCGCCTCCTTCTCGGTCAAAGGCGGTCCCAGTAGGGCGTTTACGAGATCCAGTAAGGCCGATGACACGGCGATGGGCATGAAGCACGGTGCACTCCACGTGCTGGTGTGTGGGAGGTCCTGTCATGCAGGGTTATACATATATATCATCTATACAGGCCTGGTATGAGTTCAACCCAACTGCCCTCCGTTGATCTTTTCTATTCATCCATATTGACTGCATTGAATACATCACCATGCCTTACATGAAAAGTGGGGCGTCCTCCAGCTTCTCTGAGAGCGACCAGTCGCCGGTCAGAGCGCCTGTAGATGTGCAGGATGTCGTTACAGATAGCGAGTATATCGGCGCGACTGTCGCAGACTATGCGGAACTGCCGTTGAGTGAGCAGTTGGAGCCTATCGCTGTGGTAGGAATGGGTGAGATTGAGCTTTCTAGTCCTAATGAGTCCTCCTGCTAACCATAGCCAGGCTGCCGTCTCCCGGGGGATGTGCGGTCCCCGTCCGACTTCTGGAAGATGATGATGGACGAGGGAAGTGGCCAGTCGGCTCGTGTGCCTTCATCACGATTCAATATCGACGCGCATTTCCACCCGGACAACGATCGACCGGGGAGCTTCTCAGTGTTGGGCGGGTATTTCCTAAATGAAACCCTCCAGGAGTTTGATCCGACCTTCTTTGGTCTGACGCCCATCGAGGCCATGTGGATGGACCCCCAGCAGCGCAAGCTGCTCGAGGTGGTTTATGAAGCATTCGAATCTGCCGGAGTAAGCCTCACACAGGTTACCGGATCCTCGACAGGATGTTTTGTGGCCAGTTTCACGTCCGACTTTCAGCAGATGGCCTTCAAGGAGCCTGCCTTTCGACATGGGCTGGCCGCGACCGGAGTCGACCCGGGCATCATTAGCAACCGCATCAGCCACATCTTCAACCTCAAGGGCCCCAGTATGCTCGTCAACACCGCCTGTTCCTCTTCTGTATATGCAATTCACAATGCCTGCAATGCCCTGCGCAACGGGGAGTGTGCCGCTGCTGTCGTCGGGGGCGTCAATCTTGTGCTTACCGTGGACCAACATATGAATACAGCCAAACTGGGTGTGCTATCACCCACGTCCACCTGCCATACCTTTGACGCCTCTGCGGATGGGTACGGTCGTGCTGAGGGAGTCGGGGCCGTGTATCTCAAGCGTCTGAGTGACGCCATCCGCGACGGTGACCCCATTCGCGGTCTCCTTCGGTCCAGTGCGACCAATAACAACGGCAAAGTGCCCGGAGCCGGCATTACTCACCCCAGTTTCTCTGGCCAGATGGCTGTCATCAGACACGCCTACGAGCGAGGAGGCCATCTTGACCCGCGGCTGACCGGGTATTTTGAGTGTCATGGCACGGGGACGGCGGTTGGTGATCCGCTGGAAGTACACGCCGTGGCCAACGCCATGAATGATCAGCGCCAAACAGAGGACGGACCATTGCGGATCGGGGCCGTCAAGACCAACATCGGCCATAGTGAGGCGGCCAGTGGCCTCTCCGCCGTCATCAAGGCCATCCTCACGGTCGAGCGCGGCGTGATTCCCCCAACCCGGGGAGTCGTCAACCCGAACCCGGCCATTGACTGGGACGAGTGGAAGGTAGAGGTTGTGCGAGAGCCAACGCCGTTTGCGCCTCATTTGCCTGTCAAGCGCGTCAGCGTCAATTCCTTCGGTTACGGCGGCACCAACGCTCATATCATTGTCGAAGGGGCGGATTCAATCTTGAGACAGAAGCAGACATACCGCTATCAAGGGCAGCACCCGGACTATGCGACCAAGTCCCATCGGGGCGCTTTCAACCGCAACCGCCCGTTCCTGCTTCCCTTCTCGGCGCATGACAAGGAGACACTGAAACGCAACATCAGCGCCCACGGCCAGGTCGTCGACAACTACAGCTTGCTGGACCTATCCTACACCCTGGCCAACCGCCGGACGCAGTTCAACAGCCGTGGGTTCACTGTCGCCACCTACGCCAACCGCACCCAATCATTCCAGCCCTCGCTTCCGGACTTCGTTTTTGGCGACAAGAAGAGCGCTCCACCAACAATTGGATTCGTCTTCACCGGCCAAGGAGCCCAGTGGGCCCGCATGGGTGCCGACCTCATGATGTACTATCCCAGTTTCCTGCGCACCATCCGACATCTGGACCAAGTCCTCGAGGATCTAGACGATATGCCGGTCTGGACACTGGAGGATATGATACTGGAAGACGCCGGCGCCTCTCGCGTGCAAGAGGCTGAGTTCTCCCAGCCGCTCTGCACTGCTATCCAAGTGGCTCTTGTGCAGCTTCTTCGCAGTTGGGGAGTTCATCCAGCCGTCACCTGCGGGCATTCATCGGGAGAGATTGCGGCGGCTTTTGCGGCGGGGCTCCTCACGGCCCCGGAGGCCATCATCCTCGCCTATTACCGGGGCAAGGTGGTGAAGGAGATCGAGACAAATGGAGCCATGATGGCTGTTGGCCTTGGCGCCGAAGATGTGGAGCCTTATTTGACCGCGCTGGAGGATGGAGGGGTGGTTATTGCCTGCCACAACTCGCCGTCGAGCGTGACGCTGAGTGGCGACGCGGACGCACTGGCCAAGCTGCAAAAGGAGCTGAGTGATGCGAATATCTTCGCGCGGATGCTCAAGACGGGAGGCAAGGCCTACCACTCGCCACATATGCATCCCGCATCAGCACGGTATGAAGCTCTCGTGCGCCAGGCACGCTTGGCTCTGGGCAAGATGACTCCTCGGTCTACCCTCCCTGCGCCGGTGAGGATGGTATCATCCGTGACCAACGCCGTCTTTCCGGAGGACGCAAGCCTCGACGAGACGTACTGGAGTGCCAACCTAGTGAGCCCAGTGAAGTTCAACCAGGCCCTGCACACAATCGGCAACAGTGACGAGTTCAAGCATGTCGATCTTCTCATCGAAATCGGTCCTCATTCGGCGCTCGCCGGGCCCATCCGCCAGATCAAATCCGCGGGCAATTTCACTCAATGGGAATACCTCCCCAGTCTGGCCCGGAACACAGACTGCGCCGTCTCCATGCTCCGCCTGGCAGGTGAGCTCTTCTTGCGCGGCTATCCGCTCGCCATTGACCGCGTGACCGCCATCGAGGAGGTCTCTAAGGTTGGTAAAGCGTCATATCAGATGGGCAACCTGATTGTTGATTTGCCCCCTTACCAATGGGACCTGAACAAGCGCCTCTGGGCCGAGTCGCGACAGAGTCGCGAGCACCGTGCTGTCCAATACGCACGACATGATATCCTCGGCTCCATGATGCCGGGGGGTTCACCGACAGAACCCACCTGGCGGAATGTGCTTCGGATTCGTGACCTTCCCTGGCTCCGCGATCATAGTCTGGGCGGGGAGGCGGTTTTCCCTGCAGCAGGGTACTTCTCCATGGCCATGGAGGCCATCACCCAGCTCAACGAGCTGTCGTCCTCCCCTGTCGTTATCGAGGGGTACACCCTCCGCGATGTGTCCATTGAGACCGCATTAGTCACGCCGGACGATGACACCGGCGTGGAGGTACTTATCACCCTCCACCCCGCAGTGCAGGGCAAGAGCAAACACAACAGGACAAAGCGATGGTGGGACTTCAGCGTGACTTCAGTCTCTACCGATGGCCCGCAGAGGCACATGGCGGGGACGATCGGGCTCATCACAGGCCAGGCAGACAGCCAGAGGCCGGCACCCCGCCCCGTCCCGACTTTTGCGCAGAGAGTATCCGGCACAGCGTGGAACCAGGCTCTGCGGCGCGTCGGGTTCGACTACGGCCCGACGTTTCAAGATATGGAGGCCATCCGGTTCGACGGGAAGACGTACGCTGCTGCCTCAGCGACGAATATCAAGAACGCCGTGGGCACGATGCCAGAAGAGTCTCGCTATGTGCTTCATCCGGCCTCGGTGGACTCCTGCCTCCAGCTCATGATTGTTGCCGTGTACGCCGGCCGCGCGAACGCCATGCCCTGCGGTGTGGTCCCCTTGCAGGTGGACGAGGTGAGCATCTGGACGCCGAGCGAGGAACAGCTCTCCAGCCCGGAAGCGGAGGCGTATTCCTGGATCACCGAGCGCGGGAGCCGATCGTTTGTCGGCAGCAACCAGCTGGTCGGCAACGATGGCCGGCTGGTCATGCAGATCAAGGACATGCGCTGCGTGTCGTATGAGGCGGCACTGCCCCAGCGGTCCTCGGATCTTGTGTCTCCCCAGCCGTACGGGGAGATGGTCTGGAAGCAGGATATCGACTCGCTGATTCGCTCCGAAGAAATGGACATTGCAACCCTGGTCCAATTGATGGCGTTTAAATGTCCGGGCTGTCGCGTGCTGGACGTCGGCGGGCTGAATAGCCAGGTTTTGTTGGGCTTGATGCCCGAGCTCCAGCTCACGGCCACGGCGACAACTGCTGAGGATGTTAAGGGACTGCAGGACGCCCTCATAGAGTACCCACAGGTGCAGATAAGGCAACTGCTGCTATGTGAGGACCTCGAGCCGCAGGCTTTCAAGCCTGCATCCTACGAGTTTGTCATTAGCCATGAGGTGCAGAATGGAGATGAGCTGAGACAACTGCGCACGCTACTGGTGACCGGTGGCCGTCTTGTGCTCCCTGCATCATCTGGATTAGCCGGTGACGCGTCCAGTGCTGCCAATCTGACGATTACTCCTGTGAATGCCGGCAAGCACATCATGGGAACTGCCTTTGAAACCGACGAACAGGGTCCTAGTGATGGAAACGAGAGCCGCAAAATCCGAATCGTCCATGGCCAGCGCCAACCATCAATCCTACCCTTGGTTGTCGTCTCTCTGGAAAAGCGCGGGTTCCTAATAACAGTCTCGAGCCTACAGGATCCGATTGAGCCAGGTGAGCACATCATCATGCTAGCAGACTACGAAGGGCCCCTCCTCCCTACTATCAGCGAGACGGATTTTATCGGGCTACAGCATCTCCTAACCAAAACGGGCTCTCTTCTCTGGGTGACTGCAGGCGCGCTGGCCGCCGGGAAGAAGCCCGAGTTCGCAATGGCAGCCGGACTGCTCCGCGCGATGAAGTCGGAGCAGGCCTCGCTGAACGTCGTAGCCATCGACTTCGACCCGGACACGACTCCCCTCGAGACAATCACCGAGGTGATTGCATCCAGGGCTGAGCAACAGGTTCAGCAGCCATCGTCCCTGGAACCGGAGTATTGGGTCTCTGGGCCGAATACGCTGATCAGCCGATTGCAGCCGCACCGCGACTTGAATCTTACGTACGCAGTGGAGGACAGCGAGACCATCCACGGGCCGTTCAAGGCGCAGGAGCCTATTTCTGGGCATTTGCAGTCTGGAAAGGTAGTCTTCACGCAGGATGATCGCGTCGAGGAATCTCTGCGTTCAACGGAGGTCGAGGTCAGGGTGGAGCTCACGGGCTTGAACAGGGAAGATGTGATGGTCATTACTGGGGTGGACTATCCTACTGCGTTCAGCCGTGAGATCGGCGGTGTCATTTCTCGCATTGGAAGCGCCGTGCAGAATGTATCGGTTGGAGATGCCATCGTGGGCTTCAGCTTCGACAGATTCGCGACCTTCCAGCGAGTCGATGAGAGCATGGTCCAGCGCGTGAACCCGGGTGAGAGTCTGGCTGAACTGGTTAGCTTGCCCATGGCATACAGTGCGGCGATATACGGGATGGAGGAGCTGGCCAGGATCAAGGCTGGAGAGAAAGTGCTTGTTCTGAGTGGCTCAGGGCTGGCCGGTTCGGCTGCTCTTCGGATTGCGCAGATCAAGGGAGCGATTCCCTACGTGACCGTTTCGGATGCGAGCCGTGTCGATCTTGTGCAGAGGAGTACGTCGTTGCCGAGGGAGCAGCTCATCCTCGAGGCCGACCTCTCATCGCTCGAATCACTGCGCTTTGACGTCGTTTTTAGTTCAGGCTGGGTCGATTCCTCCATTGCAAGGGAGACATGGCGGTTCATCGGGCCCTTTGGTCGCTTCATTGATTGCGGCCGTAAGGACATGCTGTCTCGTGGTGTGCTAGACAGGTTGCCGATTAGTAGAGGTGCCCAGTATCTTGCCTTCGATATGCTGGGACTCTACGAGCTTAAGCCAGAGGTCTTGTCGGCTCTTCTCGCTCGAACAGTCGACCTCTATCGCCAAGGAGAGATCCTCGCTCTCCAACCCCTCAAAGTTTGCAACATCGCGGAACTCCCTGCCTGTGTCAGTTCCTTCTCCGATGATCTAGAATCTGGCAAAACGCTGGTTGCTCACGAGGAGTCGAGCCATGAGCTGGAGTTTCTACCCACCAGCCCTGCACTTCGGCTTAGATCAGACGCAACGTACCTCCTTGTCGGATGTCTCGGCGGGCTAGGACGTAGTCTGACGTCGTGGATGTTCCAGAAGGGAGCTCGGAGCTTCCTTTTCCTCTCCCGATCCGGTACAGACAGTGAACAGGCAGCGGCACTAACGGACCATCTCCAAGCCGCTGGTGCTCGTGTCATTGTCGTCAGAGGGGATGCTAGTGTCCGCGAGGACGTAGAGAGAGCCGTGAAAGCCGCTCCAGCAGTACAGCCCATTCGGGGCGTGATTCAAGCTGCCATGGTGCTCAGAGTAAGTGACCCCACTCCTTTCACAGTCCAGGTACTAACCTCAGCAGGACGGCATCTTCAGCAACATGACCTACAACGACTGGACAACCAGCACCAAGCCCAAGGTCTCCGGAACGATGAACCTCCACCACGTTCTGGCCGGTATCCCCCTCGACTTTTTCGTCACCACCAGCTCTGTCTCCGGTATCCTAGGCACCCCGGGACAGAGCAACTACGCCGCAGGAAACAGCTATTTGGACGCCCTGGCTCGCCACCGCCGACTGCACAGCCAGCGGGCCATCTCCCTCATCCTCCCCATGGTCCTGGGTGTGGGCGTGATCGCCCAGAACGCCGAGCTGGAGATATCACTCAAGCGAAAGGGCATGTACGGAATTGACGAGACGGCTCTCCTGCAAGGCTTCGAAGTGGCTATCCTCGAGCAGCAGGGAGACCGAGATGCCACCGACACTGTCGACCATATCGTCGTGGGCCTCGACCCGGCAGAACTGCGCAAAGCTGTTGACGAGGCGGGCGACACGGTTGATAGCTTCTGGATGGACGATCGGAGGTTCAATGCGGTTGTGCAGGCCATGAACGCTGGCAGTGCGTCTGGGTCAGCCGCGGCACAGACTGTTTTGGGCGCGTTGCGGGATAGCAATGGGATTGAAGCTACTGAAGCGATGGATATTGTGGCTGAAGCGGTGATTGGCAAATTGGCGCGGATGCTGCTGATTGAAGTGGAGCAGATTGAGCGCGATGGACGGTCGATTGCCAGTTATGGGGTGGATAGTATGGTTGGGGCAGAGCTGAGGAATTGGATCTTCAAGGAGATGGAGATGGATATTCCGTATCAGCAGTTGTTGGGGGCGTCTTTGACCATCAACAGGTTTGCAGAGCAGGTATGTGCTGCTCAGGGGATCATGGTTAGTACTTAGATTGATAGAGTGAATGTATTGTTTTGCTATATTATTCATGGCCAAGCTGGCTACATAGAATATAACCGTACTAACTGCCAACACTACTCAGTATATATACGCAAAGGCTTAAGAAGTATCATATATACCGAAAGCATTGAGAAGTATCAAGGATATAGGCAGCGTGGATAGCTACAAACATGTAATAGAACTGTATGATACGTGACCTCTCCTGCTACCTCAAGCCCCCTGCCAACCACACCATGATTTTAACCTGTTACATCTTCTTCTTTACTCCATCCTCCCTCAGCCGATACTCTCTCACAGCCAAAGCCATCGACCCTACGGCTCCAGGTCCAATCACCACAGATCCAAGAAGCAACCAAGCCAGCCGCCGCCACTGGGCAGTCCTCCCATCGACCTTCCCTAGCAGCAAGTGAACATAGAACACACAAGCCAGACTAACCACAATCCAATCAAACTGCGAAAATAGATGGTACCCCTCCAGCAACGTCAGGTATGCTCTCGGCTGCAGAGATCCCGTGTCAACAGGGTTACCGACTTTGCCGGGAGTGGGCCAAAACAGTCTGGTCAGACTGGCATCGCGTCCTGGGACAGCCAGAGCGCTGAAGACGATGAAGAGGTGCACGGCGGCGGATACGGCTGCCGTGAATAGAAAGGAGGCGACGATCCAGGGTCTGTCTACGTTCGGGGCCCGGGGATTCTTGGAAGCAACCAGGCCGTGGCGGGGATATTGAAGGGCAATGCACAGGAGGCAGATGATTACCATGAGGAAAGGCGAGCCCAGGAAGCCTGCAATGGACCCGTGGTGAGTCCATGTGTCCCAGCCGAGCCAGGACGGGGCGAAGAGGAACAGCGGGAAGAGCAGCATGGTCGGGATGGTGGTGGCGAAGAGGGCAACGGCTTCGTTCAGGGGGACCGTTGGGTCCCGCGCGGTGGCTTCGCTCTGGCAGATGCTGTAGAAGTAGAGGGGCTGGATAACGGCGGCGCCAAGGGCATTCCACAGGATGATGAACGGGATGGGGCTGTATCAATGTCATACATCGTCAGCAGGACCTTTAACCGGGAGATCTGATGGGTAGACGTACTGGCGCAGGGCAAGTTTGCGGACTCCGCGCCGGCGGCTCTCGATAAACACCCATACGCCAGAGCAACAAAGCAGGACGACCAGATCGACAAAGAGTCGACGAGGGCCATCGGAGAGATCGTTTGACAGCACCTCGTAGAAGGCTGCCAGGTAGGTCAGGCGCGCATCAAGCACCCCATTCCCGGTATACGTTGAGCGAAGTCGCCGTCCGTCCGGGAAGAAGCCCTGCGCAATAACGGCGTTCATATTGTCCAGGGTCCCATTGGTGAAAGCAACGCCCCAGAGCAGAATCGCCCCGAGGGTGCCTAAGAAAAGTAGACTGGAGGAGGTGATGGTGGCCATGGTGATTGCCTGCGAGATACAGAGTCTCAAGAGCAAAATAATCCAGAGTCAGGCTTTTTCAATGACAAGACACTTGTTCGACTGAACAAACCCTCCTAATCCGACAACAGCGCCGCCCTCCGCGCTCGCCCGCGTCAGGCTCGTCGGCCGTCCACGCGGCCGCCCCTGCATAAACACGGCAGATACACCCGCACGATAAGGCACGATGGGCTTCGGACGCGAGCGCTACGGGTAAGCCGTGCTTCACCAGCCGTTGCTACTCTGGCTATTTCTATTTCACCTAAATGCAGCTCTTCTCAACGGCATAAGCCATAAACAGGATCTCTACATGCCTCACTAGCCGATTTGCAATTCGCAATTGCAAAACATATTCCCAATGACCTCCCCTTCCTTATCTCCAAACGACCGTTTTCGCGTGGTGATTGTGGGAGCCGGCGTCGCAGGGTTGACCCTCGCGCATGCCCTCGATCTCGCGGGCATCGACTATGTCTTGGTAGACAAAGGAGTCGTCGCACCACCCTGGGGGATCAGTATCACGCTTCATCCGCACGCCTGCCGCATTCTGCATCAGATCAACTGTTTCGAGGCGGTCTCGGCACAGTGTACGACGATGGAGCTGTTTTGTCTCCGTGGGCCGGACGGAAAGGTCTATCACGAGCAGCGGTTCTTTGAGGCAATTGGGAAACGGTATGCGGCCCTTCCAAAGTATGAAGTTCCAGGGCTTATGTCGCGTGTAGTACAGGGTATACGACGCTCACGCTCGAACGAAGGGCATTACTACGGACGCTGTATGATAAGCTACGGGATAAGTCCCGGGTCATCGAGCGGTGCCGGGTCCAAGACATCCAGGAGCGCGACGGGAAGGTCCACGTCCTCATGGCCGACGGTAGCAAGCAGACAGGGGACTTGGTGGTAGGCACGGATGGGGTGCACAGCGTCGTGCGGGAGTTGATGTGGAAGAGAGCGAATGAGGTTATACCGCATTTCATCTCTGCCGCTGAGAAACGATGTTCGTATTTGCACACTCCCTGTTGAAGACAAGACTGACCAAGCAGCAATTGTGACCTCCTACAACGCCCTGATTGCCATGTGTCCCATGCAGCCCGGCCTCGGGCTGTCAAACATGCACTGTGTCTCCAACGACAAGTTCTCCTTTCTCATCCTGTGCCAGCCGGACACGATCTACTTCGTGGCGCATTGCAAGCTCCCCGGCGGGCGACAGACGCGCTGGCCAAATAGGGAGCGCTACACGCAGGCCGATATCGACGAACTGGCGACCAAACTGGCCGATTATCCTCTGTCCGAGTCGCTGCTGTTCGGGGAGCTCTGGGAGAAGCGAACGCGGGCGCATCTGGTGTCTCTTGAAGAAGGTGTCTTGGAGCATTGGTTCTTCGGGCGGACGGTGCTCGCCGGAGACTCGGTGCATAAAGTCACACCCAATGCAGCCTTTGGCGGCGCCACGGCCATGGAGAGTGCCGTCGACCTGGCCAACTCGATCCACCGAGCGGTGACTGCGCATCCGAATAAGACGCCGTCCGACGTGGAGATCAGGGATACCTTGCAGGGGTACGAGAACTCTCGGCGAGATCGTGTGAAGGACATCTACCGCGTGAGCTGGATGTTGACGCGGTTGCAAGCGTATGACGGGTGGCTGAGCTACATCGCGCAACGATGGGTGTTGCCGCTTATTGGGTTGGATTTCGTGGCGAAGAATGTTGCGCAGACGTGTAGTGAAGCTCCGAAGCTGGAGTATGTCTTTGTCGATGAGGACAGGGGCAGTTTGGGGTGGAAAGATAGTAAACCGGCGGCCAAGCGCAGCGAAATGCTTATGGCCCCGAAGTCGCAGCTGGTTCCTTATTTTCCGCTGCTGTTTGGTGCCGTGGTGATGTTTTCTTCTGTGGCGTTTGTCTTTATGGTTTGAGTCCTACGACAGCGGACAGCGTAGATAGAACAAGAGTCTCACATGTCTGGAATAAGATCTAAAGGGCATAAACCAATCCCTCTTCAGGGCGCACTGCACCATTGGAAAGTTTTTCCCATCCCCCGTAGATTCCATTCTCTCCAGCAATGCCCTGTCCGAAGACTAAACGCATGTCAGGGATGGCGGAGGCACGGTGTGCTAACCATTCCTTCCACCTGTGCGAGACCTTTCCAAAATACGTTGCAGCTCCCTCCCGGTTGATGACTGTATCCTGGATGCCAGAGGTATTGTACTGGATCTTTCCAAGTAATTGCATAGCTGCACGAGCAGCCTGGACTTCATCTGCTGTGTACACCTGAATAAAGTCAATATAATGCCTCAGACGCGAGGTAAAATCAGAGAGACTRACCTTCTGCTGACTGCCCACCTGCAGAATGACAGTTTTGCATGACTGAAGCGCCGACTCTTGAATATTCTGGCATATCTGACTCAGGACATTGTCCCGCGCCCCGCAGTCTATAATCACCACCTTTGATGGCTGTAGACCCTCAATCCACTCAGTTGCTTGGTTAATTTCTGTATATGCTAATATCTTAGACACACACCCCCAGCCTTTTCTATCTGCGACCTCCTGCAACACACTAGGTGACGAAGACGAAGTAACCTGTACCAAACCCAGGGGTCCACTTTCCCTGGCCCGGTTGAAAAGACACCATGAAAATGACCGTGCAACCTTGGTTGATGCACCTAGAACCACTATAACAGCAGATGAGAGATCTGCATCATCCGCAGACCAGGGGAGTTTACTCGCTGCTCCAAGCGGATGAACTGGTTCTTGTGCGCGCGGGTTAGGAGAAAACACATACTCACTAAGCAGATATCCAGCGACCCAGACCCCTTGGAAAACTGTACTCCATGCCCTCTTATCTAGCTCTTCTTCTTCTTCATTAGGGAGTACCCATTCATAGCGATTGTATATAGGCATCAGCTGTTGTCTGTGGCTGCTAACTTCCACCCAGTGGCCTTCAGGATCACTGCGTTCCAAGCGCAGGAGAGTAGGCAATGTGGAGGTAGGCCAGTATCCCCAGATAAGGGATTCTGGGGTGATTCCAGGGACATTGCTCTCAGTGACAGTGGCATATCCCCATGCTGGGACAATGCCCCAGGAGGACTGATCATTGTATGGGGCCGGAGCGGTGGGTGGGACTGGGTATGTTTTCCACCTGTGGCTGTCAGTGACAACAGATACAAAGCCAGGCCGCGTACCAATGCAGTAGATCTCCTCCACGTGCGTAACTAAGGTTGTTGGAAGTCAATCCTAGAAGGATAGGTCGCGCACGGAGCGACAAGGAAGGCAGGTTGTGGTCTAGAGATGGAGGAATTTTCACCACAGCGTGTTGGCGGTTGTCGGCCTTGCAGACAACATGGATCATCTCTGGGTTTGTAGCAGGGGATTCCATCCTGATGACTGTGATGAAATGAAAGAGTGAGAAAAGGTTGAAGGACTGAAGCAGGTGGCCTCTTCTCTTCTATTTTTCTTTGTGCTTCCTTAGTCTGCCCCTCCTTTAGTCGCTGGAGACGGCCGACAATTTCCGTGGGTGCATAGTGGAGAGTGGAGAGTGACGTTTCAGATATGCAGGCATTATGGCATAAGATTTTAGTTGACTGACATTTAGCTGCCAGACGTATGTCATTCTAGTATCGAATATCTACTAACGTCAAGTTTTCGGTCTAGAGTCTATGATCTCGATCTCTTTCTATCCTCCTGCCGCAACAAACTCCCAAACCCATCATGCTCCTCTTCCCACTTCTGCAAGGTGACACCCACCCCAGCCACAAGATGATGCCAATACCCGCTTTCCTCCTCAATCGCATCCAACGCACCAGACAAAAACCTCAGCGAACCCGCGACACCATCCGCCGTCAGATCCGTCGCCGCGCGCAACTCCCGCCACAGCGCCCTCATGCTCATCACCAACGGCCACCCAATAAACGTCCGCTGCAGAGCAAGCATATCCCCATCGCTCCGGGCAACCGGATAATTCATCCGAATAGTACTAGCGATTTTGAGCGCATCCGCCGAACATCTCCGTCGCGACTCGGCGACTACAGACGAGGGTAAGTCCTGCCGCTCAGCCTGGTCGATGGCTGCTTCGTGCAGGTACAGATCCACGGCGCAGAGGTTGACGAGTAAGCTGAAGGCCGCGGGGTCCTCGCGCGAGGCTTTCGCAGTGAGGTGTGCTTTCAGGCCGGCCATGCGGTCGTTGATTGCCTGGCTGAGGGCGTAGTGGCGGTCCCAGAAGCCTGACCCAGGAGGCGGCGAGTCGGATTCTGCGGTGATGCTCTGCATGACGTGTCGCATGCACTGTCTGGCGAGTGTGGCCATCAGCACGAGTCCGCCGTAGGATGTGATGTGTGTGGCGGGTGTGAGATTGACGTTCTCGGTTAGGATGGGCATATGCATGTCTTCGAAGTCGGGGCCTAGTTCGCCGGGGGAGGCGAGATTGACTTGGACCTAGATGGTCGGTTGGTTCTTTGCCTGCTTGGATGGAGAGAGAAAAAGAGAAAGATAGAAAGAAGGCAAGGACGTACTTGGGGCAGATCGATGTGGCATGGTATGCCGGCTCGCATACTCGTATAGGTTTCCAAGATATACAACGCCCAGAATGCCCGTCGTCGTTCCTCGAGATCACCCTGCTCTTGTGTCGTTGGCAACGCTACATGAAAACCCCAGCTACTCCGGCAAATTGAAGCCGGGCGATCGAGATGGTTCAGATCCAGCACTTGCGCCAGTCGGATTGCACGACCGAGGGTCATCCAGGCGCGTGTAACCTGCCGGACATCGAGTTCATATCGAAGGATAAAGACTAAACTCTGAAAGAGATTCAAGTCGGCATGATGCTCATTCCGCTCACACAGCTCGGCATACTGGCGCGCGAGATGGTAACATTGATGCTGTATCGCACGATCCTGTACGACAGCCACCATCGACCCCATCAGTGCCACCGCGTAGCTTAAGCATTTTGTCGGGAGATGGTTGGGATCACGAGCAATCTCAGAGAAAAATCGTTGCTGGTTGAGGATCGGCAGGGTTGGATAGAAGATCTCGAAGTAATTGCGATACCTGAGAGGTCCATCAGTCATCTGTCCGTAGTGATTTTCCTCTGGAGGTAAATATACAGGGCAATCAGATCGGGAGGCTGTTCAGCATCGTCCGATACTCTCGCATGAGAACTAGGCTTGCTGGAGAGTCCAATCTCCTCTGTGGCAGCCGGGGTCTGCAGCTCAGGAAGCCCGAGGAATTCTAACGATGTGCTAGACCGATAGATGTCAGAACTCAGAACCTTGCTATCCACCAAGCGATGATTTTCCCACTGATACTAACCACCAGGGTTCTTGGTTCCCGCACTCTTCCGGAGCATCCTGAAAGACCACATCCGGTATCGCAGGCAACTCTGGCTCTGAAAATGGTCTGCATGGGGCCTGAGATAGCCAAGGGTATCCGGCGACTGGAACTGCACCAGGCAGCGCCAGGAGCGCTTCTGCTTTGCCTGTACGATGGTTAGTCCCGCGCCCTGGGTCTATCTAAACTGCTGGGAAGTTAACTCAATCGTTCCTGTAATTCAGACAGCCGCCGGGGCAAATCTGAATCCATTGCGGGACGGTAGCTCTTGCGACCATAGTAGCTGCAGCGATGGCCCAGACGATCACAGCGTCCGCAGCGAGGATCCGCCCGGTCGCAGCGGACTTTACGCTCTCGACACACATCACAAGCCAGTCGACCTTTGGGTCCGCCTCTAGACGATTCGAGTTCGTTGGTGTTGGATTGCGGGGAGGCAGCAGACGGCAACTCCGACATAGTACTGGAGGATCTGGATGGACTGAGGTAGGACATCTGCTCCGTGTCTAATGATTATCTACATAGTCAGTAATCCCAGTCAGCATGGGTGAAGATGTTGGAAATCCCTGCTATATGTATTCGTTCTCATCTATCCTGATCCGCCTCCACTACTAGCATTATCCTTGTCTAGATAGCGCGAAGTAGGCAGTGTTGCTCACTTTCGCTAGGTCCGCTAGGGCGACTCTGCAACTAGGTGGAAGGTCAGTCAGACTTGGACGCCTAGAGCGTTGGTTGGGACAATTGCGATTGGTATTGGCTTCTCCATAGTTACAGGGCGCTGGACTGTGTCAGACAAACTCATCGAGTAACGTAATTGGTGTGTGAGCGGGCCATGTAGGCCAGTGGGCCACCTCTATATGCCGTAGAAAATGGCCTTTTTTTGGACTTCAGTATCTCAACCAAAGCACCTACTAAGAGCTTAATAATAAGACATATAGTTTATTATCCTATTTAATATTTATAGAGGCTTTTATCATGTCTTAACAAACACCGATATCTTGAGTAATATCCCTTACAGCTGTTATTTTCATACTCTGAGTAAATTTAAGAATATACAGTAAAATCTAATTTTTAAAAGTCTTAAAAAATAATTTGTGAATTTTTCTATACTTAGTTATACTATATATCTAACTTACACTTTATAATCTTCATGTTTGGGTGAGATATAGAAGCCTTAAAAAGAGGCCTTTTCTACGGAATACAGAGGTGGCCCGCGGGACCACATGGCCCGCTCGCTTACCGATTACGTTAGCAAACGAAGCAGATCATAACTACAGGGGGATATGAGAGTCAGACCCTGCACCAGCTATGATAGGATCAGCAAGAAGGCTGCCAAGCTGGGGGCCGGAAAATATGAGTTTCCATCAGGGTTTGAATACACAATTAACCGATTGGACAAGAAGAGCCGGGTGAGTAGTAGTAAGTCATGTAAGAATTTAGGACGCCTTAGCACGTAAGATAATGAAAGCAGCCACCTATCAAGCCGTCGAAAAAGTTCCCCACCATAACGGTAGGGTAACATTGTGGCTTTGTTGATAGTGCTAACAGTGATACTCCTGTGGTGCCAAGGGAGCAGGCATCACTATTAGGCGATTATATTAGTTTCTGGGCAGTGTCAATCTAGACCTTGACTTGGTAAGTGTTGGCTAACTCTCTAGTATCATAGGTCTACAGGTCATATTCATCATTTATTGCAAACAATGCCAAGCGAAGCAGCTGTCGTGAAGATAAGCGGCTTTTGCGGTCAGTTCGAGGGAAAAGGATTTATGCAGAGCATTTGATCATCGTTATCGATCATTAGTCTACACTATTCCCTTGCTAGGAATGACGTGGCCCGTATGAGACTCACTGGGCTAAAGCTAGATCCTCTACATACTCCTATTCTTAGCCTGAATCGAGAGGATGAGAGCCTCTCTCTGTCTCAGTGAGTATTAAATATGTAGTAACGGCAGATGAAGGCACAGAATCTAGGCTTCTAAAGTTATCTCAAGAGGTAATGTCCTCTATCAACTCGTCCTTGGCGTCAAACTAGGCTATGTAGGAGTGGATTGGGACTTTTAACAAAGAAAACTAAGCTTGATGCTCTATCTGTTGCTACTCAGGAACTAGGAGAACTAAGAACACGTCAGAAGTAGATATATAGAACGCAAGGACGGCTGGTAGCTATCAGAGTCTCGCTGAGGCTGCTTCGAATACTAGGTCAGCTCTGCAAAGCCAACAACGCTTGAGGTTTGAAATGTGCGCGTTGTACGCCATACACCTGACCAGCGTTCTTGTTCTATTTGTGCGTGTCTCCAGCAGTCAAGGAGGCAGTGAGGGAATCGCATGCAAGGAGAGGAAGGAAGGATGGCACTCACTGGCGTTCGCTAGATATATTGGTGGAATCTGTTCCTTATGCGCCAAGGTGCAATTCCCGAACATCTCCTGCTCGCCAAGTGTCCAGAGGCCTCACTGGTGCGTAAGGCGGACACGGACGACACAGACCGGCCAGCCCGGCCAGAGGGACAAGCATGAAGTCTGTAAATGCAATAGACTCCTGTTATTGCAACCAGTGACAGCCCCGATCAGGTAAATATTATGTTCGGGCCGCGGCACAGCGTCTACATCGGGACCATGAACTGCACCCTTGGTGGAACTGGATGGGTCCATCGGCTCCCTAGGCTGTGACAACTTCTTCTATGCTTTTACCTCTTCCACAGAGGAAAACTCCCAGCTGGCGATGCAATATGGCAGGGATATTGCCAAGCACCAGGATTAGAGGTATTAGCTTAGATGTCTAACAAATCTTTTGGATGGAGTCATAGAGAGTTATAAACCAGAGCGAGAGCGAGAACTCTAGGTGAGAGGTCCCAATGATGGCGATGATACTGTAGTCCTAGTGAGTACTCATTTCAATTAGGGTGCTAGGCTGGTAGCTTGTCTGCAATTCTCCAGCTTTATTTTCATGCATTGGCCTAGATATACCAGACATGTGGTCGTCCTCGAGCCTAGCAAAAGGCACACATTTTACTTGATAAGCACGACCAAATGTCCCCGATCCGTCCCCGGCTTACCCTTCTTGCTCTACTATATCAAAATCTTCATAGGGTTAGGGTTAGGGGGTGGCGGCTGCCATATAAAATTGCCTGATGGAGTTGGGCGGAGCCCTCTTGTACGGACGCACGGAGCCATCATATAGTGGTTTGGTTATGCAACTCAAGCAGAGGGAGCCCAGGACACCTTGTATAATGAATAATAATTTCATGGCAGTAATAGTATAGTCATTGATGGTCTAACTGAAATAAATGATATATACATAATCCTACAGGGCATGATTATGAACCATACGGTCCATACCGCATCTGGTCAAACAATATACATAGATATGACGGGTCAAATTCGTCATGATTTTGGTGTTACGGAAAGATCGGTGTCTACCCAAGGTTTAGGGTGGCCGCAGTCCCGAGTCCAGAACCTACCTCCAGGTAACTTTGGTTAGGCTTAGTTTCAGACATGCGTAAGAAAGATAACATATTAAGGTTTTGCAGAGGCTATTCAAGACTAAGAATTGACGGCTATATATACCCATTCCTAATTAGGCCATACCACAACTATACCTATATAGTTATATGGCTAAATACATAGCCTTTCCTATGCTCCAATCTTTATATATCGCAGGGAGAGAGTGTATGTTGTAGATGGGTGGGAGGCGCTGCGACGGGTATAGCGTTACTAGAAAAGTCTATGAATCATGTGCTTTCTGCTTCAAGGAGAAGGTCGATGCAAACGGTCCATTTTAAAACAACCTTGGAACCTGATACCTGTCTCTACCGGGTTCTTACCTTTTTCCATTTGTTAATAACTACACTGCAACCAGAAACTAGACCTTTTCCCCCTTCCCCCTCCCCCCAAAAGAAGACGTATAACATTGGGGGAAAAATGCAGATTAGTAATATATACTAAGTGCCGTTCAAAAAACCCCAAAATACAGAACCATCTGTCAAAAAGGTAAATAACACTCTAATGCTAAAGCTTATTACTATGTCTGCGTCACAAGGCTATGGGGGAGATCCTAAGGCATAGGCTGCTGCTTGGCCTGTGCTACCGCTAAACCTCAGCTATGCAAGCAAGTAGCTTAAGCCTTTATTTGTCTACGCTATCTATGAGCTTAGGCTGTGTAAAGAGTCCTTTGTGATATAGGCCCAGACACAGCCTCTGCTATTGCTAGGACCATATTGGGCTAGCTCAAATTTCAGTATCCTGGGATGCTAGAAAGCTCGTGCCATTCCTGGTATAAACCTAGATCAATCCTGTTGATCCGTGGCGTCAGGACCCACATCCATGATAAGGCGAATCTTTGGCCTTCGATGTGCTCGTGATTACTGATTTACTGTCCCCTATAGAAGGATTTCAGTAGGAAGACTATGGTACCCTTCCAATTCCAGACAGCCAGACTAGGAGCTTGCAGTAAGAGCTACGATGTTACGCTTAGGAGAACTTCTCCAAGGAATATTGTTACTTAGAGCTAGGACATGTCTACCGAGCGCTCCCTACCTGTCGGACGTTAGATGGTTACAATGGTGATGGTGAATGATGGTAGAAATTAGAGGCGATAGAAGGGTGTGAGGAGCCAGCATCCAGCCAGCATTTACAGTATAGGCACAACCCAGCGGTTATTTTAGTTCACATAGAAGAAAAGCCCATAATAAAGACAAAGGCGTACTCTGTTTTACCACAATCGACATCACCAAACTATCAAAACTGAAAAGGTAATGTATTGCAACATCCTACAGATGACCAGCTTCCGACATGCTAAGGTCTACCATGTTACAAAAAGACCAGTTTCTAGATTAGACTGTCGTAAACAAGACTTTTGGGAGTCAGGTAGTCCAGCAAGTAGCCGCTTACCATAACCCGTGTCTTGACGTTGAGTAGTTGACCTTCACTCGATGTTACAGTTCGACCTTACTAAATAGCGAATGTGAGTGTTGATATGGAGGGGCTACGGAAGTCAATGATGCTATGCTCATACTTTACATGCTACTAAGGGAATACTGAGTTACTATCTCCTTTGCGTTGTGTACCAATTTTGAGATTCAATTGGTTCAGATCGTTCGATGACAATATTCAGATTTAATGCAAATGAGTTTTTGATGTCAGACTTACACAAACCTAAGTGTACTTTCCCTGCTAGCAATTTAAGCATAATTAATGACGTAAAAGTTAAAGCATCCTTGTGTATTTAGGCTTCGTCGGATAGTGGACAGATCTATAAAAGAAAACCTTCTTGCTCTTATGAGACAAAAATTGAAATGCTGAGCTTGCTCTCTATTAAACTACTTAGCTTCAAGGGAACAAATCTAACCCAGTAATCTGTCATCATGCAACTTATTTCACTCATACTGTGCCTGGCCACTGCTGCCCTTGCTGTCAGTTATCCAGCCAACTATTTTGCAGCACCAATTAATACCGAGGCTACGCCTTGCCACGAAGGCTACAATTATTGTGGCTGGGACCTCCGAAATCAACATGGTAAGCTCAACATAAACATATAACAGGGGTTAGCCAATGATTCGCGCTAATGTCAAACTGAAGGTTGGGGCGACATTGACGATAACAATGGGGTCTACTATTGCGTAGCTCCCTTCAAGACACGCAAAATCAATCATTGCAATCGCGGTTGTCTCGGCCCAGTTGCGCATTGTCAGTGAAAGAGTGTACTTGTAGTAAGCTTTATCGATTCAGGTTTGTATCATGTCCCGCAGCAGACACATATCCTGAGGGGAAGGATTCATGACTGACTGCAAGCTGCTTATAGCAATATCTTGCGAACATCACGTAAACGCGGCCCTGCTGAGTTTCAATTTCTCGGTACAGACATTTTTTTACTGACCTTTTTTTGGGTAACCGCTTTCGCACTCTAGATATGGGGAGCGGCTTTGGAAATATTTGCTTTTCTGTGGCTGAAACCGAGGGACAGGATATATGGATGGCATTTGCCTGGAGCAAAATTTACTGCCTTGGTATGGGTTTTGTCCTACCCTGAGGTTTTCCTATACTGTAATGTAAATGCAAAGGCAGCTTCTGAATGATACACTGCTAATTCCTTTCTCACCTAAACATATTTCCAAGCTTTTTAATGGGATTGAGCCGCCACGCAGTGGAATTCTATTAGACCAGGCCTGTATTAGCCTACGCTTATGCTTGACAGGCCCCTAAGGTAGGAGAAGTTGAAATCTAAAAACTATTGAAATTTTGGTTATTGCTAGGCCCTATCCGCCTACCTAGAGAGGCTAGTGACTGCCGATCTAGGCCTAGTGGTGGTTTTTGTGGTTAAACTCGGACCAACTTGGATTGGATCTGATTTCTAAAATTTCAACTTGAAATCACAATAGTTCAGTGCCGACTGGTTTTAAACTCACCTGAACTCGGACCGAATGATACGATGGTTCAAAGGCAACCCTTGCTCATCTACCGGTGTCCGTCGACTGCAGCCCCTCCAATCGATAGTTTATTTATGCACAATCAATCATCTTTTTCAAATTCGTCCCAGTGCAGTTGAGCTAGCCAGGTTGCTTATGGACTAGACCTACTTACAACTTATTTTGCCCTATTATGTTGTGCAATTGGAGAAAATGCTCGTTGTCTTGCTACTTGAGGTTCTTCCGACTCCTCCAAAGGGAAATATGGTATAGAGACGCCGCCGGGACCTAACCAGTTACCTAGAGGAGCATAGCTTTATGTTCTCGTAGGTAGACTGAGTATTGACCATCCTCGTCACAGACATTGCGCGTTTCTTCGCAGCGCTGGAGGAAGTGAAGCGGTGGCTGTTGGAGGTGCGCTACCATTTCAGCAACATGATGGGACGGAGAGTAATCTCCTTCCTCATCGAGAGCATCAAGCAAAGGCTTGTTCTCGAGGATGTTCCAGATCTACAATTACTGTCAGCAAAGATGGTTCACCAGGCCACATAGTTAGACTTGCATGACAACGGACATTCTATGTGTGAGCGCCGAGGCTCCATTGCATGTCAAAAAGCACCTCCGGGGATCTGTAAATATTGAGTAGAATGTTCCGACACGCACAACTTAGTCTTGTGGATTGGTTGAGTAAGTGTAGTTGATTATTCAGTTAGTAGACATAGTTATGATGCTGGGGATTAGTAATACGATAATTTTGTAACTATCATTCGAAACGTAGACTAAAATTCTGAGTGCAACAGCTGGTACTTGTTTATAGAATGTATCCTTATTTTCAGATGTCTTCTGAGAGACACCGATTCCTCTTCATGCTTCCGTTTTGTCTTCCTTGATCTTGGCGAACACCTCGATGAATTCAGATGGATCTACCGCTCCGTCCAAATGATGCGCCCGCTCAATGATATATCGTGGGACACCGGTATTGCCTGGCTCCTCCTTGTTCTGTCGAGCCTCCTTATCTACAATATCTCCCGCCAGATCGGTATCGAGCCACTCAGCCACCTCGGCCTGCTCCAATCCAGCGTTCACGGCGAGCTCTGTTAGCACCTCCTTGGATGAGATGTCCTTCTCCAGCTCGTGATAAGCTTGTAAAATAGTGTCCACCAAGGCATTTTGGATCTCAGGAGACTTGGTCTGGCTGAGATGCACCAGACGGTGCGCGTCACGCGTACTCCCAATGAGGCCGCCGGGCTTGAAAATGATGCCAACAGTGCGTCCAATTTGGTTCATGCGGTTGAACAATGTGGCTCGCTGCTCTGGAGTCATGTCTCCCATTCGCTCATCAATCAAGTCACTTTTAGGCACGCTGTGGGGGTGTGGGTTGTAGTTGAGGTAGTAAGGGCTCCATTTGATAGAGAAAATGTCGGATCGACCACCTGGGTATGTTTTTTGATACAGCGCGATGGCTCGGTCGAGTTTGCGCTTGCCGATATAGCACCACTACAAAGTGTCAGTTCCGCCGTCACAATGTATTAAGAGCTGCGAAAGGCCTGAAACACCTACCGCACAAACAAAGTCAAAGACTACTTCAATGTCGATTACTGTCATGATAGGGGTTGATTAATATCAAGATTATCAAGTGGAGGTTTGACAGTTAGAAGTTGAGAGATGGTAGAGCTAAGAGGTAGTGTCAACTGTTGGGGAATGATGCATTGGGTAGCGCGGGAGAGCCAATCAAAGCCATCCCAAAATAGGTCTTCGATGCCCAAAATCTTAAACCTAGAATGGAATGGCGGGTTCCTTTTCCGGGGTCGGGCCCTTCGGAGTCGGGCAGCCGAACAAATCATTGTACGGACACTCCGATCAGTGGATCAGATTCACTTCCCCTCGATAATTACAGCATCCTTTGTCACTGATAGCTAGCTATCACAGTCACATATTCGAATTGGACAAAGTAGAAGAAGATCTTAATATAATACGGTTGCAAATCAGAGTAATGAGTGCACTGGAGCTCATGTACAGAGAGAGACATTGCCTTTGACTCAAAATATGACCAATTCCCAGACTCGGTAGTAGAAAGTGACCTCCAAGGAGCCGCTCGTTATATGCGGATGGCGTTCACAAGGGTCCCGTGTTACTCATAAAAGGATAAATCAAAGAGAGTAAATAATCCCAGCATACCTAGTTTGGTCAATCCCAAACTCAACCGTGAAACTTATTCCGCAGCATGATCTTGGCCTCTTGGCTGGGACCCATGTTAAAGTCATGAAATGTACTTGGCGGCCGACATCCATCCTTGGAGTCCGCCAGTTTGACTTCATACTGGGTCAAAAGCACCACCAGGATCAGCTTGATGGCCAGTGCAGTAAAAAACCTTCCCGGACAAGCGTGGGAACCAGCTCCAAACCCCAGCATTGTATCGGAGACCGACGCAAAATGAAAACGATTTGGATTGACCGTCTCTCGGAGACGAAGAAAACGATAGCCATCAAACCGGTTCGGATCCGGGTAGATTTCTGGATCGTGGTGCACCGCGTCGGCGGGAAATTGGAATATCACACCCGCTGGAGATGGAGGCCGTCTTTGAAGGTATGTGAACGGACTGTGATAAGTTGAGCTGTGACTTCCAGATGTCAGCTAATTCAAGCTTAGTAAGGGTGGTCGAGCTCACTAAAGCCGATGGGATGGACCCGCTGACTCTCCTTCATGAAGCTATCCAACTTCTTCATCTTGGCCACCTGCTGTAAGGTCCAGTTTCCACCACACTCTGCCAAAGCGTCGTGCACCTCCTGAGTAATCTCAGCACAATACTCTGGGCGAATGAGCAGATCGTACAGGACCGATGTCAGACTTGAAGAGGTGGTATGCATAGATGCAACAGTCAGAAACAGCTGTTCGTCCGCGATTTGACCAAGCGACTTGTCGCCTGTATTCATATTAAGCAGCCAGTGCAGACAATCAATGTAATTCCGGGAACTGCGTTCCTTTACAGCTGTTATTCGTTCTTCATAACAAGGAGAAAGCAACTCGACTGCTCTGGCCCGCATCGCCCGCATCTTCCTTGGAGCATCGCTCTGCCAGCGAGCCAGCCATCTCCAACCAGGGGAGTACTTGGCGCGAATGGTAAATGCGGCGTTGAATATGGCAAAGGTGGTTTGGAGCGAGATATCAATCCATTCGCGATTCCGACAGAGCTCGGGTCCCACTAGCGCCAGCGCGGTTACCCGGGCTGTCACATTGGCCAGGAGGCTATAAGCCGGGACGGTGTTCCATTCTACAGATGTCAGTGAGGTTTGAAATAGACAGATACAGCAGGGAGAACAACCCTTGCAATCAGGTAGATTTGCCTGCAATCCTTCTACCGCCTCCTGGTACATGCCGTTTGCTAGCATACCTGGTGGTAATCAGCAAAAGAACGTCGCAATTGACATTTTTGGTATGAAAATGCTAACCGAGATTCTTTCTCAACTCCACGCGAACTACATGCGCTGCCGCATCCGTCTGTTGCGGCGCATCGCTGTAACTGAGAAGAAACACCTGCTTTGGCTCAATTACGTTTCCCAGTTGCTTGAGACAAGCCACATACCTTCTCTGAGAATAGAGGAAAGCTGAAAAGATGAGTCGATGCATATTTAACTTCATCTAGATACTTCATAGGCAGCAGGACCTGTGGGCCTAGCTCCCCAATGGGGTTTCGCATTTGGACGGGGATCCCATTGCGCAGGTACTATTATCATTGGTATATATTATTAATGCAGCATTGTAAGAGGAGAATACCATACCTTGTCATAGCATTTAAACAAGAGAGACCGCGAGTCCTGGGCATACCGCTCAGGTGTATCATTCTCATCGAAACGAACTTCTGGAATATGAGCAAGAGCGTCTTTGTTTACGGGGGGCTGTATAGAAAGGCGCCACCAGATAATGGACGCCACAGCGATCGTAGCAAGAGTGAGAATGATCATCATGTGGGATATCAGATACCGGGTTCAAGCAAACGCGATACAGCACCTGTAGAGTAAAGGACGGATCTCACATAATGTGACCTACCTTGTCACGATGTTTGCTGTTTTTTTCTGATCGACAAAGGTACAGTGCATAGTCTTCGCTTACCAAGGCAGAGCACAAAAGCAAGCGTGGGGTGCTGCGATGTGTGGCTTGCCTCAATATTCTCCTAGTGTGAATACTCTGTAGCATGAGGCTTCCATAGTATGATCTACACACCCTGGACACGAAATTCTAAACGTCCGATATTTACACATCTTGCCATAACCATGGGATGGGGATTCTGCCACATATGCTACTACCTAGCAAATTCATCATCACGCAAGCCACAGAATATTCAGACTTGTAGAATCTGCTGTCCAGGGATTGTAGCTGGCTAGTACCCGCTTTTCCGTCTCTCAGCGTAGCTTTCCTTTTCGGAGATCCACGTCTACGACCCCAGAAGGTGTACCGTATATCTAGAGATTGCTTCTCCGAAAGAAGGCCTATCCTATATTCCAACAATATCCTCTGAAAAGGCGTCTGTCAATTGATAATACGCCCTTCATTGAAGCACTGCGAACGAATATATAAATATCTTATTCTTACCTCATTCGGACCTTGCGCTGGTTCGGGAACGACTTTTTCGCCTTTTGTAATATGGCGATGGCACTTGCGGTAGCTGCACCTTCCGAATGGAGAGATATTCTTCCATACAGTACATCCAAAGACAGTCCGACAGTGCACAGCATGGAAGTAACGACAGACAGCCAAAACGCACAGGGTGAATTTGGATTCTGGGACACTTGCGTACACCAAGTTATTCGCGAGCATTGCCAGAGATCTCCGGACTCCCCCGCAGTCAATGCATGGGACGGGTCATTCACATACGCCGAGCTCGACAGCCTGTCGGATGGCATTGCGTCAGTCTTGATCCTCCTTGKAGTCAAGCCAGAGAGCATTATACCCATATACATGCAGAAGTCCCGATGGACAACGGTTGCTATATTGGGAGTACTCAAGAGCGGAGGAGCTTTCACCCTTCTGGATCCATCCTATCCACGGAGCAGGCTGGAGGAGATATGTAAGGAAGTCCAGGCAAGGTTTATCCTTACGAGTGAGGAACTCAGCAAACAGTGTTTAGAGATGTCTCCTGCCCTAGTCGTGGAGCATCTAAGCCGGGCATGCCTGCTAAGTCCCGGCCAAGCTGGGCAAAAACCATCTCGACCTGAAAACGCCGCTTATATCGCGTTCACATCAGGTTCGACAGGAAGGCCCAAGGGCATTGTCATCGAGCATCGATCATATTGCTCTGGAGCTCGTTCGCACCTGAAGGTGTTTGGTATCGATTCGACCTCGCGCGTTCTCCAATTTGCCTCGTATGCCTTCGATGTCAGCATCATGAAGACGCTCAGTACTCTGATGGCGGGAGGCTGTTTATGCGTAATGAGCGAGTCTGAACGAAGCGATCCAAACTTCTTCGTCGAGTCGTATAAGAACTTCCGGATCTCCCACTGTTTTATGACACCATCCTTTGCGAGGACGGTGCAATGGACAGAATGCTGCAGCCCGCCACCCACCCTGATCGTGGGAGGCGAGTTAATGCGCCCCTCTGATGCGGTAGCATACGAAGCAATGGGAATTTGCTGCATGAACGCATACGGGCCTGCCGAATGTTCCGTCAACGTGTCTATACAATCTAGGGTGGAAGACGGTGTTGATGCTCGAAACATCGGATACACCACCGGGGCGACAGCCTGGATTATTAGCCCGGAGGATCCAGAGAAGCTGATGCCACCCGGTACGGTTGGGGAACTGCTCGTGGAAGGGCCGATTGTTGGTCGTGGCTACCTCAATGATCCCAGCGCCACTCGCCAGGCGTTTATTGATACACCCGCATGGCTGCGCAGGCACCGCAAGGGCATCTCTTATCAGCACCGAGTCTACCGTACCGGGGATTTGGCCTCCCAGGACAGCATAAGCGGTGCGCTGCTACTGCACGGCCGCAAAGATGCCCAGGTGAAGATTCGCGGCCAGCGGGTCGAGCTCCCTGATATCGAACACCATCTCCAACAGACCTTCCCGAACGGCGATGCCGAGGTCATTGTCGAAAAGGTCACCTTTTCCGACGATGGAGTGGAAAGGCTCATTGCCTTTGTCCTAATCCGTCCCTTTAGCACTGGTTTTATCACGGACAACATGGGAGATCGTCTCTTCCTGGCGCCCCAATCACAGATCATGGAGCAATTCGTCATCAGCAAGCGACATCTACAAACAAATCTACCCAGCTATATGGTTCCAGATATATTCATTCCGATATCCACTATCCCTCAAACTGCATCGGGGAAAACAGACCGCAGAGCCTTGCGAACCCGAGCTGCTGCCCTCTCGAGACGGGATGTTCAATGTTTTCTGCTCTCGCCCACGGGTGATAAACATCCTCCATCCACACCCAAAGAATCAACCATCCGAAGGCTGTATAGCAATGTGTTGAATCTACCTATCGACGTGATAGGCATGGACGACACTTTCCTGCGCCTCGGGGGGGATTCACTTCAAGCCATTCGTCTCATTGCAGCGGCCAGGACGGCCGGGCTTATACTACACGCCAAAGATATCCTTTCGCCGCAGAGTACGCTGGCTGAGCAGTCGCAACGTGCAGGTTTGATCCAGACATCAGACCATACAGGGGAAGCTTCAACTCCGTTTGCCCTCTTGCCTGTGGCAAAGAGGCATGATATTATCGACCTGGCGCAGAAGCAGTGCCGCGTGTCTTCGAAGCTCATTGAAGATATCTACCCCTGTACCGCACTGCAGGAAGGCATGTTCCTGACGTCTTTAAAACACCCAGGCATGTATACCGGGCAGATAACGTTTGATATTCCCGACAGGATGGAATTGCCCCGTTTGAGGGCTGCATGGCTGTCGGTGATGTCCGAGAATGCTGCTCTGCGAACACGCATCATCGAGACCCACGAGGGATTCATGCAAGCGGTGATCGTCAATGACTTCGCGTGGGAGGAAGAAACCAACGAGATGCTGCCTTCTGGCCGGTGGGAGGCGCTCGAGATCACCAAGATCGGTGTGCCTTTGGTCCGGTTTCGCTATCGCCCTCGACATCGGCAGCTGATTATGACAATCCACCATTCCATCTGGGATGGCTGGTCGCTCCGTTTGGTGCATGAGCAACTACAGCGTGCCTACATCGGGCGCGATCCGTTGCCGAGCACCTCATACAGCTCCTTCATTCAATACACACAGGACCTACCAGGGGCAGACGAGTTCTGGGCCTCCGAGCTCGCCGGTGTGAACGCGCCGATATTCCCGACCTTGCCATCCGGCAACTATCGGCCGTACGTAAACGCATCGCATCGACATGGGGTGAGAAACTTGGTTTCAACCGGAAGGGAGGAACATACCACCGCTACCTATATCCACCTTGCCTGGTCGTTACTCATTGCCCACTATACGGACGCGGACGAGACCGTATACGGGGTGACGATCAACGGGCGCAGTGCCGACGTACCGGGGATCGAGAATATTGTGGGCCCAACAATTGCAACCGTCCCGCTGCGCCTTCGAGTCAATCAGGAAAATACCGTGAAGATGGCGCTGGATCAGGTCCAGGACTCTCTCGCACGCATGATTCCATACGAACAGGCTGGCTTGCCCCGCATCAGTCGGTGTAGCAGAGATGCCTCCAAAGGTTGTCGCTTCCAGACTTTGCTTATCATTGAAGCTCCCGCGGATCGCGGCGTGGCTTGCGAGAAGAACGAAGCTGGAAACTTCTCCATTATCCGGGGAACGACTCAGACTGAGATGGACTACACCGCGTTCTCTTCTTACGCTATGATGCTAATCTTTCGTACCAGCGCCGACAAGAGCGCGATTACGTTCGATATCACATATGACGCGCAAGTAATAGGCGGCGTTGAGGTGGAGCGAATGGCTCATCAATTCGAGCATGTCTTGCGACACATCTATAAGCCTGCAATGGAAAGGATTACAGATATCAGCTTTCTCGGGCCTTGGGACATCGAGCAAGTACAACAATGGAACAGTTACATGCCACCAGCCGACAATCGCTTCTTGCAGGAGTTGATCTTTGTTCAATGCTCCCGTCGACCTCAGGCGTCCGCTATCATTTCCTGGGATGGCTCATGGACATATTAGGAACTCTGGGCACACTCATCGTTCGTCGCCAGGCAACTGCAGAGGTATGGTGTGAAGCGAGGGACTCCTGTGGCTGTCTGCTTGGACCGCAGCAGATGGAGCATTGCAGTCATCCTGGCCGTCCTGCTCGCTGGAGGCACATGCGTGCTGATCGATTTACTGTCTCAAAGACAAAGAGTGCGAGATATCCTTCAAATCGTCGGCGCAGGTATCTTGGTCAACAGTCATGCAACTGCCCCGGTGACGTCTGGCCTCTGTCCCACTGTTATCGATGTATCACTCCTTGCGGCCCAGAACGGCTATTCGCAGACGGGATGTCCCTCCAATTTGGACACCTGGGAGAGGGGGGTAGGAACCCCAGAAGACATCGCATTTATCATGTTTACGTCCGGTAGTACTGGCCATCCCAAAGGCATTGAGATGCCCCATCGCACCCTCTCCACGAGCATTTACCATCACAGCGCGGGGATGAAACTGAACACCGGCAGTCGTGTCCTGCATTGCTCCTCATATGCATTTGACGTGAGCATCTATGAAATCTTTACTACATTGACCGCTGGTGGAACCATCTACGTCCCATCCGAGTTTGACCGCATGAACAATCTCGCCGGCTTTATTCGAGACACCCAGGTCAATTGGGCGTTTTTAACCCCTTCCACAGCCAGAACCCTCGACCCCGCAGATGTTCCCTTGTTAACTACCCTAGTTCTTGGAGGTGAAGCCGTGACCCACGACAGCGTTGAGGCGTGGGCAAAAGGCCGCTCCCTCATCAACGGCTATGGCCCTGCCGAGGCAACGATCTGTGGAGTGGGCAATATTTCTGAGGCGGGATGGAAATCCGGCGTTATCGGTCGAATCGTTGGTGGTTTGGGCTGGGTTACTGTGCCATCAGACCCAACCAGACTGGCAGCGGTTGGCGCCGTGGGTGAACTTCTCCTCGAAGGCCCGTTCCTGGCCCGAGGATATCTGAACCTGCCAGAGGTTACGAGGGCCGCTTTCATTGACCCTCCCAGCTGGAGAAAACAGATTCCTGCTCCGYCGCCCTATCCTTTCCTCTACCGAACAGGCGACCTGGTCCGATATCAGCCGGACGGATCCATTCAATATATCGGTCGTAAAGACAGCCGTATCAAACTCCGAGGTCAGCTCGTGGATCTGAATGCAGTTGAGGCAAGTCTCATGAGGGTGTATCCGGCTGCGATTCAGGTGGTCGCAGACGTGTTGGTTTCCGATAGTACCGCCAGACTGATTGTCCTGATGAAGCTCGGTCCACCAGTGACAGGGACTCACGATGATCCCATGTTCCAGACACCAGACTTGGCTTTCAACGAGGCCGCTGCCTCTATTCAAGCTCGTCTTCGGGCCATTGTACCTCCCTATATGGTGCCGTCCGTGTTCATTCCTCTACGTCACATCCCTCGCACCCTCACAGGCAAGACAGATCGTCGTCAGCTCCGAAACAAACTACTCTCATTATCACAAAGCGACCTCCAACGCTATATCATGAGCTCCTCGGCCAAGACACCCATTTCTGATGACAATGCACGGAGTCTTCAGGAGATTTGGGCAGAGGTGCTTCGACTCCCATGCGAAGCAATCGGGAGAGAGGATTCTTTCTTACTCCTCGGCGGCGAGTCTCTAGCGACGATAAAAATGGTAGCATTGGCAAGGCGGATCGGGTTCGTGTTCGCTGTGGCAGATGTTTTGAACAACATGAGTCTGTCAACCCTCGCGCGGTCCCGACATTTGATCACAGAGCATGATATCCCGAGCCCGTCACCCTCGCTCTCACTGTCAACCATCGACAGCCAGTCCCTCCAGGAGATTCTCCGACCATTACAGAACGGCGGCCTAATTAAAGGAAGCAATGACATTGCGGCTATTCATCCTGTCACCGCCGCGCAAGCATTCCCCGTACAGAGGTATCCATGGTCACATTTCCAGTTTGACTTATCTGGGGATATCTCGCCCAGCGAGCTTCAAACCGCCTGCACTGCGTTGATGGCCCGATTCACTATCCTTCGCACGGTATTTGTCGAACATGCGGACCATCTCTTGCAGCTCGTCTTGCGGGAGGTGCGCGAGTGTGTCCATGAAATTACGACCGATGAGCCTCTCGATAACTTCTGTAATTTACTTTGTCAACAGCAGCAGGGCATCTGTGTTGTTAGCTCTACAGCACTGCCAACTCTGTTCACTCTCGTGTCCAACCGCCAGCTTAACAGACGTCGACTTCTCCTCCGCCTTGCTCATGCACAGTACGATCTCACCACAATCCCTCTAATCGTCCAAGCCTTGGCCGATGAATACAACAGAACTCCCCGTGCGAGCTTCTCCTCCGACTTCAACTACTATCTCGGTCATCACATGCGCCAGAATAACGACGACAGGGCCCATACCTTCTGGAACCAGTACCTGTCGGGCTCCTCTATGACATCTACATATCAGACTGCAAACACTACGACGCCTCAAAAGCGCTTCTTTCACGTCACTGGATCATGCACAGTTACGCCCGCATCGCATCCCCCCGGCATCACAACTGCCACCGCCGTCAAGGCCGCCGTCTGCCTGGTTCTAGCCTCACGGACCGGCTGCACAGACATCGTCATCGGCCAGACAGTGGACGCCCGTTGTAGTTCGGCTGACAGCACCCTTGACCAGATTGTTGGCCCCTGCACGAACTATATCCCGTACTGGCTCAGCGTGTGCTCTTCTAAAACTGCGTTGGAATACCTCCGCAGCGCGCAAGCCCAGCACACCACATCCCTCCGATACTCCTCCCTGGACCTTGACCAGATCGTGGCCAAGTGCACCAGCTGGCCGAGCAGTACTCAATTTGGATATATCGTCCAGCACCAGGACACTGGCGCAGACTTGGCTCTCTCGCTGGGAAGTGGCAGTACTTCCTCGCCGATGACTTCTTACGGCCCTGTATTTCCTCAAGGGGAGGTCTAGATCGGCTCGACGCCTCATTCTACTGGTCTGAAGATTGATGTCATTGCCTCGAGCGCAGTGCTAAGCCAGGAGGATGCTCAGGCTGTGGCTGAGGAGGTTGGCGCGGCGTTGGAGAACTTGCTTGGATGTGGAGATCGCCCTCTTTCGGATTTGATAGGAAATACCTTCGCTAGCTAAGCTTATTGACTAAATATACTCTCAAGTTACTTAGATGAGTCGCAGGTACTAGTCTCTGGGCTCACCATGCTGGGGAGTCGAGAGAAGCTCATTGAAATAACGAGTCACGTTTTGAACAACAGATCCAGCCCTAGACTGAAGTTCAGCTTCTGCCCCTCACGGTCTATGGAAAGCAGGACAGTGCAATAGAAATCCTCTTTCTCATTGTCACTTTTCACGAGTATATTTAGGCTTATCCTGAAGTGGCCGGTCTCTGACAGAACTTGCTTGAAAATGAAGCGCGCAGCGGGCTACCTTGTAAGCGAGAACTCAAAAGTCCGGTGGAAGCCCTTGGTCTTGTGGATTTTGACCTAAAAGGAGCATATATCTTAATGTCTAAGGATGTCCTCCTGCGTCAATTTGTCAGAAAACAGACTCTCCGAGATAATGATACGAATATGGTGCTTCTGCTCTGAGCGCCATACGCAGATTGTTGTTGATAAGTACTGCTTAGAGGATATGTCTGTTGAACATGCAGGGCTGCCGCTGGGCTCCCCCTGTTGCCAATCGTGTTGCTCGTTATGAAAGTCAAGTTAATGAAAGATCGTATCACTGACAAGAAGGGAGTCATTGCATTCGTGGACGATCACCCCCATAGAGTGGTAGACCCCTCTACCGAGGCCAACACAGCCTGGTTACAAAAGAGAATAATTCCAACAAGGGGTTCAGTCTCTTGAACCACATTACATTGAGGGGCTCCCTATGCTGGGCTGACGGGGTCGCCTGAGTGAGCCGCGCTGAAAACAGGTGAGAGAGTCCGTTAATCGATTCAAGACCCAGCTCTATAAGTCACTTATTATAAGCAGCGCCAAGGGACATGGATGAACTCAGCACCCTGGTCTTCATTAACTGAGTGATACCTGCAGGGGTCCCTTTAATTTATGCAGGTGCGGACTAGCGCCCGCCGAGCTATATGGTCTGGACAATAACTGCGCCGCAGTCAGCTATGTAGTTCTTATGAACCTGCCTGGCGTACTCTACACTCAATGTCTGCAAAGAAGCCCATTGCCAAGATTATACCAACCTACAGCACCATTTGGTAAGGTATCCCGTATGTGTAGAATACCTCCAAGCTCCAAGTTGGCAGACCCATGGGTAAATATCCGCTAATGCAGTTCGTACTAGGAGCTGCCACTAGCCGTTACGGGAGGCTGGATAATGTTGTATTCATGCCAGATCCTGCTGGAGTATGAGTATGACAATCAGTCTAGGGTGTGATATTGTTATACTTTTTTTCCATTAGTGAGGTCTTCTATAACAGGAGGCGAATGACTCGTTTTTGGCAGGCAGCAGGCAATTCAACTACGTCAACATGAATATAGACTTTATGTTGCTTCTCTTTGTGTAAGACGTACATTAACTAGATTAGCCATGCGGTGCACAGCCCCCTAAATTATCCATCTAGTGCTTATCCCACAATAATACCTGAGATTCAGTGTTCAAGGAGCTGGAGCAGTGCATCAGCACCAGTCTCACCCACTAAATCCAGTACGGTATAAATGGCTAGATATCAGCCCAAAATCAAATAATTCCACTTATTGCGACAGGTCCGTCTTCAACATTAACAAAACAATCTTCAGTTCCAAATTGTTATGCTGCTTCCCAGCGTCCTCTCCTTGCTCGCCTTAGCGACCTATTTCTCAAAAGCAACGGCAGCAAATTCAACATTGCATGACAATGGAAGACTTGCGCCGCTGAAACGAGTAACAACTGCTGCCCCTAGCTCACTCGCCGTGGAGTATTACGAAGCCGGGCCCTCTGGCGGCGAGACAGTGCTTCTAGTTCATGGATTCCCCTATTCAATCGATGCCTTCGTTTCAGTCATACCACTGCTTGTCAACCAAGGCTATCGAGTCATTGTGCCTTACCTTCGCGGCTTTGGTGGAACCAGATTCCTCTATCCGCACACCCCGCGCAGTGCCGAACAGGCTGCTTTGGGGTACGACATCATTGCACTGATGGATGCCATTCATCTCGACACTGCAATATGTGCAGGTTATGACTGGGGCGCTGTTGCCGTGAATGTCGCAGCAGCATTATGGCCCGAACGATGCACTCGCATGGTGGCGGCCAACAGTTATCTCATCCAGAACCGTTCCACGGCCTGGCAACCCAGTGATCCCGACTCGGAGGCCACAAAATGGTATTACTACCTTCTTCTCACTCCGCGTGGGGCAGCAGGTCTTGCTGAAGACCCCAAGAGATGGACAGAGGTACTATGGAAGAAGAATTCCATCGGATGGAATTTTACCGAGGAGTATCTAGACGCAACGGTCACTTCCTTGTTCAATCCAGATTTTGTTGATATTGCGGTCAATTTCTACCGGAACAGACTCTTATATGCACCTGGTGATCCAGCTTTCATTGACTTGGCAAATAAGCTGGACGATCAGCCTCCCATCACCGTTCCGTCTGTGACCCTGGATCCCGAAAATAGTGTCGTCTTGACGCCAGCCAACGGATCAGCAACGGCAAAACACTTCACTGGTCCACGCTGTCATTATCTGATTCCTGGTATCGGGGAAAATATACCATACCAGGCGCCCAAGGCGTTTGCCCGTGCGATTATGGAAGTTTCGCGTCTGAGTGCTTCAAATACCAACTGTGATGCTATCTTTTAGTCTCATGCTTTTTCCTATGTCATCGCAGTGTCTGTCGTCACATTATGGGTCCCTGCGATAGTTGTGCGAACTCGCCAATGATGATACAATTCCTCGTCCTTGAAAAAAGATTGCAATGCACGCAATTGCGATGTAGATATGTCATGGTGAAATGGCAGACCAGTCGACTCCTCGTTCTTGTAGCCCTAATGCAATTCATTCGACAGGCTAGTGCTGCTCATCGGGTGTCCGTGTTGTATTGCTTGCTGGAGGAATTTAAATAGTCCTCGGAGACAGGGCCACGCTGATTTCTAAGGTAATGCGTCCACCTGGAATCCCTCCAAATACCAACAGCAACCCATTCTGGTCATCGCGTGAAACTACACATTCCGGGCTAAAACCTCATTTCCCATGTTCTTTTCGTGATCACTGGGTGGGGATAACATAGATCTACAATTCACAGACAACACTGCGGCGGAAAGGGGGGCATTAGCAATACGCGCCCCCTGTAAGATCAGGGACCGGATAGATACATCGTTAGACCACCAAAGATAAATCAACTTTTCAGGCAGCAAACATCTTTAGTCCTAGAACTCTTTCCACAGCGCCAGCATAACCTTGCAAAAAGCTCTTTGCTCCTTGAGTAGGAGCCGACATAGTACATTTTTAAGACGTCCAAAGCTTTGACTTCCAGTAACAGGCTATGACCTGCAATGGTTAATCAGCTCGCGAGCACAGTCCGATCAATGTGAGAGTGATAACAAGGCCGATACAATAGACGATCGGCAAATGTTGCCAAGGTACAAACTCAACTCAATTTGTCCCGCGCAAAGTGTAAGCTTAATAAAGCATACCGAGCAGCATACTAGCTGAGATGATACAGCCTTAGTACATGATTTCCAGGTGAGCGAGTGTATTATGTACCGCTAGCGAGTCAGCCGAGTGCTGACCCGTAACCTGAATGATAGCAATGKCCTAAGATGCGGTGAAACCCGAATTAGCCATGCAAGACAACATCGCTTAAGCTGTCTGCAGGTTGTTTCCCACCCAGTAAGGGCTATCGCTTATGAGTGCTGTCAAGAAGATACATTGTTGGTGAGCTGCAGGGCAATGACGACGTCACTGGCATCAATTCACCTCTGACCATATCTTAAAGATGCACTTGTTCAGGTGCCTAGATGCATGGCGTCTTCATGTCTTAATGCGAACCCACGTGATATCTTTGTTCGTCACATTAGCTATACCTATATATAGTGCAATACTGCGTAAGCTGATGTCAGCTCCTTTCATATGTAATTCCGGCGCTCATTGTTTCCGAGCCATGTATATCCAGCCATGTATATCCATTCACACATAGAAATGCAGGTGCGGACTATTCCGCAGATGCAGMAAATAACAGCATCACAAATAGTCTGCATCAGATAACACTAACTTACTTAGTCATAACCTGCAGCAGCCAGGAAATTTTATTGCAGCAATTCTAAAGGTTAGCAACAATATCTCCTGAAAGAGCATCGTCGTTGGTGGTACTAAATTCAGGAACCGCGGCCGAGTAGGATTTCTGGTATCTGAGAGCATATAAAGACGATCAATCTCCTCTGCGCATGTCATGGTCGTTTTGCATTGACCCTTTCCCATCGATAGTTAACAATTCTATCTTAATAACAGTTTTCCACGATGATTCCCAAGGCTGCGAACGTAAGTCTTCCGCAGCAAAACTTACACCAAGCAGGACCTGACCATTCTAGGCCGTCCTCCTCGCTCTGTGTGTTACGCGATCGGTTTCGGCGACCCTATTTGTTAATTTTACCAATTATGCAGCCGAAGACTGTGTTGTTCGCTACGGTTCGTCTACGCTTGTCCCGACTTATTGTGTCAATATCGAGGACTTTCCCGTCAAGAGCTACGGGGCGTCGGTGAGCTATGGAAAGTGTGACGATTCCTCCACGTCTCCGGTCCTGAACGTGTTCTCAGAAGCTGGATGCAATGCTGGACTATTCAACACTGTCGCCTTGAGTACGGAGCCGATATGCATCAATAATGATACGACTGTGCTGAGTGTCAGTGTGGCTTGCATCTAAGTTTAAAGCTTTCGGGTGCCAATCTGCAGAGCTCCCTTGTGACAGCCGTATTTCTTCGGGGCCCATGCCTACCAGTTTTCAAATATTATGTTAATGTACACACTGCTCTCTAATCAAACTTTTGAACGATGCCTTAAGGGGCCACGGTCCCATAGCTACCGACCTGAATATGGATACTGTAGCTATTGTCAGAAAGGCTGTGACCAATGAAATCGCTGCCGCATTCTACTAAATTATGGACAATCAAGAGTTGAAACGTTCCTCCAATATCGCAAGATGCCAGAGGCTATGGAGCCCCACTGAAAGACATTTTAGGAAGTAAAAAGTGACTAAGTAGTGTTTGATTTCAATACTCTTGTTCACAGAGAAGCATGCATGGGCTTTTCTATGACTGTAGTATGCCAGTTCGAAATGTTGCGGGATGGATTGTGGGTAGAGTTCATGAATGGGTTTCTCCAGGGTTCTTAAATAGCTAATATTGTAGCTGATGATCTTCCTATTCCTTAATATGGCTGCCATGACCTCGTCTCATGACTTTCTGATGTTATTTTAGATTATTAACAGTATGCATTGTCTATTCATTGTTAACTAGATAGTGTGGCTCAAAGAAGTTTGAGATTAGCTGCATATCTTCCCCTAGAGCTGTTTTATTCTTCCGAGAGGAACAACTATAACCACATTGGAGCCATAGAGATATTAGTAAATATTGACGCAATCACTCCCTTCCTGTCCCCTTAAAAGAGAAAAGAGATGGAATAAAGTGGGGTATAAAGGTCAAAGAAAAAAGAAAACCTCTTCAATGTTTCCAAGCGCTCCGACAAGTTGGACATGTGGAACGACGAGACGTTTTCAACCACTGATCAATACACTTTTTGTGGAAGTTGACTCCACATTGCACCTTGCACCACACCAGTCCTTCCTCTTTTATAATGCCTTGTTCGGGAGTAGATGATTCTTCCACTTCCTCTTCATCATCATCATCATCATCATCATCATCATCATATCTGTCGCCTTCTCCATCTTCCGCTGCGCTTGCCTCCTCAACGGAGTCAGAGTGTGATTCCTTTAAAGGCAACAAACATATCACACAATCTCCCTTAACACAACGCCGAGTCGCGAGGGCAGGCCGAGGGACTGTAACAGTAGAGTGTAATGTTACACTTGGGTCAGCCTGAGTGGAGGCACTGTCGGAACCGCTATGCGTTGTCGAAGTGGTCGATACTGTGTAGTTTGGAATGTGAGAGAATCTTGGCCGACGGGCTGTTTGAGCCGTCCGCATGCTGGTCACTCCTAGACTTGCTGAGTATGTTGACTGGATAATGGTTCTTGTTGGCTGTGTCGTTGCCGCCCTGCTTGCGATTGAGTCGTTGCTTATGTGTTCGTTCCGGATGATGTTGAGATTGATGCCACCCCCTGTGCGGTGTGCATGATTATAACGGGGAGCACTTKGCACATGGCTTGATACCTGGTGGGCAGCGTGGATGTGTCTGGACTCTACTACACCGACGCTAATCCTCTGCAGTAGGAGATCCACGCTTTCTCCAGAAGTTTCTCTATAGTTTGTTCTGAAGGGACTGTTGGCTATTCTGCTGCATGACGAAGTGGGCGACTGAGAGCTTAGGAAGKTTTGAATCTTTCTCTGCCAGCGTGCAATGAGATCAGAAGCTTGGTATTGGTGGAATCTTCTGCACAGCACATGTGGAGCCAGATCTTCAAGTAGGATATTGATACACCGTCCAGCACGAAGCATTTCGGTGCCTTTGTTCAGAAGTTGCATAGCAGATCTGCGGCCGTGTGCGTTTGTCCGAGCATGGCAGCGACGGCGCTGTGAAGGGGCATAACCAGCGCACCAGGGCTCCTTCTCTGGTTCGAGTTCGATGATCTCAGAGAGATGGGGCAGAGAAGGACATCCGATTGAGTAATACCTGGGAGGCATGCTGAAGGTTCGGGAAAATAGAAAATTTTCAATGGTCAATGTTGTGGTACAGCGTAGCTTTGGATTCAAGCAGAACACTTCGGTTCCTTACTTATACCACGTCATGAACACTTCACTTTTCGTCGGTCTCAGGTATAAGCCGCTGCCCTGCCACACATTTGTGGCGCGGTTCTGGGACGAGCCAAAGAATGACGTTGTTATTGATAGAGACCTCCAACAATGGTGCCAAATGGATATCAACATCCACAAACGTGTGGAGGGGTAGAGCGCAGACGAATGTTTCACAACCAAAGGAGCCATAAGGACTTGACTGGGGGACAAGAAGCTTTGATAGGTCCTCTTTCCATAGCCTCATGCAAGTTCACAACGCCAGGTTTTGGTAATGCAGCGGGAATATCTACGGCGGCTCCAGCATTGTTCTCATTGGCCGCCGGATCATCATGGCGTGAGATAAAAGAAGCGGGGACCAACATTCCACAGCATTTATGTGTGAGCTAGAAATAGCAATCTACTGGCACCAAGGTGGCTGAGACGCCGGGGCAGATTCCTAGTGGATTGAACTGTACTTGGTGTCGTTCTGGACCATTTAGACTGTCTAATCATTGTCAGGTTAGTGTTCTGTAAATCACTTGGCTAACATAGGGCCCTATCTCCTCGCCTGGTATTTACGGATTCCTGGGGCTGAATAGTCTGCAAATAATGATCATGACGTCCCAAGTGAGCCAATTTCGATAGCAGCTGAAGTCGTTGTGGGTCTGAGCCAGGTCTGACGGAACATCTCTTTCATCTACATGATATCGGGGTCTGGAATGTTGGCGAGATGAAGAATGGAATGAAAAATGGGCAATGCTGTTACATATAAGGGAGATATTAGCTTTACATATGCAGAAGAGAGACTTTATAAAAGGAGAACGAGAGGAGACACGACCAGCAAGTATAGCCAGAGGCCGAAAGACAACAGCTGGAAAGGTAGACAGCACTACAACATCAAGAGCCCGAAAACAGTACCCACCACTGCCACCAGCATGTTATCTCCCTGCAAAGCCAGCCTGGATAATGCGTTGGACAGGTAGAGGTGCTTAACACACTCTGACTCGTGGCTGAGTGGCCCGGGACGTTGCGCCTTCTGAGTCCTGCATTGAATGCATCCGCGTCTGTGTTGTTAAGTTCATCCCAGACAAGCCGCTAGCGAACCAACGACCTGCTTGAGTGGCATTTGCCCATCACTTGTGTGCCGAGGAGGTGAACGAAGATGAGGAGAACCGTCTGTAGCCAGCGCTCATATGCCGCACATGTGCCTGATGGTTGATGAGGAGCTCATGCACTCTATAACGGACAGAAAGCTAGATCAATCCCACTCTATAAAGTCATCCGATATCACCAGTGCAGAGATGACATAGCATATTGATGAGTTTAACGTCAGCCTCCCTTCACAAATCGCTCGCTTTAGCCCCCGCTGTTGGACTGTCGTGGAAGACTAGATATAACTTCACTGCGAGTAGGATCGGAAAGGATAACTGAGGGCGAAATGAAGAGCGATCCACATTACTGATTATCTTTTTTTTTTTTTTTCCTTTTTCTTTTTTGCGGGCTACAATGGACATTCACAGCATCAATGCAGTGGATGAAGAGTGGCTCACTCGTCAAATCCACAATCTCGCCGTCCTGTCTTAGGAGAGTATGGATACTCTGTACTGATTTCTATGGACTGGACATGAATAGCTGCGTCTGTCAGGGCAAAGGTTCAGAATAGGAGAAAAGGTATGAAAGAGGCCCTAGTGCGCAGTACTGAGTCACAAAAAGCCAGAGTATTGGGATTGACGCGTAGCAAATGGGCGATCCCTGAGTAGAAGGAGTTGAAGGGTGAGAGCCTGGATGCTGCAGCAGGAGTTTGTGCTTCTCGGCCATAGGTATACAAATGTCAGAGACTCCCAACCTGCTTTTTCCACCGGGGATCCGATCAACTGAATTACTCTACCAGGCAATTCATACTAGTTAATAAGTATGAAATTTGACCGCCGAAAGACTACTTGACCGGATTCAGGTACCCGGCTGCCTGGCTGCCTATGAATATCTCCATTGTCTGCTGTCGTAGCTTCATGTTACTGATTCCCTTGTTAAAGATGTACTTTATACTGTGATATGCCCCCTACTTGTGTGCCATGAGGTTTTGTTATTTTTTGTTTATCCCAAAAGATATTTGTCAATTGCAATCGGGGTTTGTAGGTATGCACACAGTACTCACTTTCCCCTCTCGACCCTTCCACTGAATCCAGTGATTCAGGTGATGGCAGTGACAATAGCTAGAATTGACCAGCCAATATTAGAGAAACATGACCTAGTCATCCTGCGCAGTACTGGAGACTGGCATCTGCCCCCAAATTCTCTTAATCCCATGCACAATTTGCAGGCCGTGATTGTCGATGTCATCTTGGACTCTGTGAATGATGGTTTTCACGTCCTGTTGAGTGCGGCAACCCTCCACACCACCCTGTGCAACTATTCCTTGCAATGAAGTTGAAAAGAGTCGCATCGTAAGGTCATTCGCCAGAAGCCTTAAATTCGGTTTATCGGTTGAAAGCAGCGTGGCCTGCCCACAGTGGGTAAGCCCAACTGACTCAAAGAGGTAAAAGAGAGTTTCAGTATGCCTATTGTACTTGGATCAGTTCTTTTCAGATAACCCTGACGGATGCCTTGTCGCACCTGATGTCCCGCCCACACTTCAGGGCAAATTCTATATCAACGCTCACCATCTCTGTAAATGCCAACGATGACGGAATAGAGCTGTATAGGCTATAGTCTGAATCCTCCCAAAGGATGTAACCTCCTGGCTCTATTGATGCAATATAATCAGCACCTAGTTTTGGAACATAAGTTGGTCACATACTCAGAAGAGCTATCACGTTGTGAAGGACGACTTCCCATTCTGTCTTACAAAACGCGTACTTCAGAAACTTTGCATGCACGACATCAAATGTACGGATGAAATCAGCGGCAAATGGGCGCCGTATGTCGTGTCCATGAAGCGTAACCCGTGCAGGAAGATCATCAGGCGGTGGGAAGAGTGCTGATGAAACATCGAAGCCCATAAACCGAGAGGACGAAAAGTCTGGCAGTTGGCTGTAGAGATCAAGCAGCCATTGTCTGTAGGAGTATTGTTAGACCGTGCAATCCTAGGATGGAGTCTCAACAACTGCTCACATACCCCGTTCCTGTAGCCACGTCCGCAATTTGAAGTGGCTCGTCCTTTTTAATGGCAAGGTGAGACGGGAGTAGTTCTCCGTCGGTCAATATGTTAAAATATGTCTGGCCCTCATTGAGCCTATCACTTGTTAGGGCCTTAAGGCCTACAGCCTGACTTGTTTCGATGTATCGAAATAATACCTAGGTTTCTCTTTGACGGCCTCGGATCCGAGGATGTAGAGGTTTGCTGCATTTGACGGCATTAGTACTCTCTGCGATTGATCCGAGTTTTTTGAAAAGCATCAGGGCTGTCATGCTGGTGCGTAATCCAGAGACTTTATATTTTATTGGGACTAATGACCTTTCTCAGAATAGTTAGTATTGATGATATTTGCGTCCTATCCTCATTAGGCTATGCGCCCACTTCTTGCTGTGTTGTCTTTAGCCTGTATAGTGGAGATGGTAGGATTCAGCTATGAAGAACTTGGCAGTATTAGCCGAGTCGTTCTTGATGCAACCGAGTGTTACTATCCTGGACTTAAAAGGGGTGCGATAAGCACCAACTTGGGCTACTTGGGCTACTTGAGTGACTTCATCCTCAAATTTTCCTAATCCTCTCTCCGGTTTAGACGCGGCGATGATACAACAAGTGCAGCAAGCTGTCTTCGATCCAAAAAGGTTCCTGGTCGATATCCAAGAAACATGTCGCGCGATCGGTGCTCCATTATCCCAGGAAATAACCCTGAAAGTCCTGGAGACTTTCCAAGCCAGCTTCGCTCGAGGGGCTGTCTTGTGGAGAACCACCGATCTCCCTGGAGATGCTCTCAATTTTCGATTTTACGAGCGTGTGTCTATCGACGCTGTATCTTGTGCAGTGAACGCCAAACTATTACAGCCGAATCATCCCCTGTCCCAGATGATCGTCTCCTGGAGTTCCTTATACTCGGGAGCTCCGCAACAATCCTGTGACTTTGATACCAAGCGAGGCCTTACTAAAATCTGGGTGTATCTGGGGGATATGCGCCCTCTAGGCGACATATTGAGCGCACCCCATGTTCCTCTGTCTATACGCAACCACGCAAAGTCTTTCTATAACCTTGGCTTAAAGATCATTCGACACGTTGCCGCCGATTTTACGTCGAACACAGTCAACATCTACTTTCGTGCGCACGGCCCGTTGACGCTGGAGCGAGCAAGAAGCTTAGTGGGCCTGGCCGACCCTACCTACCTTCTGACGCGCGAGGAGGTGGAAGAGATGCGGCGGTTTCTAAACCCTGTGGGATTCACCTTTGCCGTTACGATGGATTATACCACAGGTGAAATAAAAAGAGTGGGAGTGTATGCTCTGAAGCTGGCGCCGGGCACCTACCCACCAATGGATGAGAGGTTGAAGATATTTTTTACCCAGGCACCATCACATGATGAGGAAGAGATGAACGCAATAGCATGGTCATTTGGCAAAGGTGGTGCTAGATATGTCAAGGCAGAGAGGAGCTACTGTGGGGGGCTGGTACCGTTGATGAGGCAATGGAACAGCGCGATGAGTTCATAGACGTCCTATTGAGAGCTTAGGCAGCGTCTCTCCTTCCAACAATTAAAGATAAGATTTTTTCTAGTTGTATCTTGCTAGGTTGCCCTTTTGAAAGTATGGAGGGTTGTAAGCTACGATGACGAGCTTACTTCCTCGAGTACGTCTTCCAAAGCCCCTAACGAAGCAAAAAGCCATGGTAGGATGAGGGCGCGGGATGTTGTACCTATTGATCAACTGTTCCATGTTCCCCAGCCAATACGCACCCGCACGCCTGCAGAACGCGTAAGGGTTGAGAAACGAGCTACTGAAATATAGACCCCAGCAGCAGCTGGCTAATCGTATGTGTATTCACTGCGGACTAGCGCCCGCAAGCTCCCAACTCATCATTCGCTGCAAACAAAAAAAGAAATTGGTATGTCTTTGGTTTGAAAGCCGGCCCCTCTCAACAATGGGCCTTTTCCATTTTCTATATATGTGCGGTACGCTGCTTACATTTCCTATCTCTCCAGAAAATCCCGTTATTTACAATCTGAAAGCATGGGCTTCGACTCTAATTCCGTGTGGTTTGGTAAGTATAACGACCCCTCCATACCAGCTATTGGGTTCTCAACCTGACGCATCAGTGACCGGCTGTTCTTCTGGTCTTGGAAAATCCATTTCGAAGGCTGTGTATGACGCTGGCTTTCGCATCGTGGCAACAGCTCGCTCGACTTCATCCCTTTCATACCTGCCCGACGGCCCCAGAGTGCTCAAGCTCTGCCTGGACGTTACATCCGGCACATCGATCGAGGCAGCCCTCGCTGCTGCAGTAAGCCACTTTGGAGAGATTAACGTGGTGATCAACAATGCAGGATACGGGCTCAGAGGGGACACAGAGGCCGTTCCGGAAGAGGAGGCCCGAAACCAGATGGAAACCAATTTCTGGGGCCCGGTCCGGATTACTCGCAGAGCCGTGCGGATCTTCCGTGAAGTCAATGGACAGGGCCAAGGGGGAACAGTCGTGCAGATTTCTTCTCTGGGGGGTTGGATTGGGTTTCCGGGGAATGCGTTCTACCATGCTAGGTATATAGCCTCCCTGCTCTGTCATACTCACTGTTCACCGGAACTGACTAACCACMCGGGCTAGCAAATTCGCCCTAGAGGGATTCACTGAATCCGTGGCCAAGGAGATGGATCCATCGTGGAACATCAAGTTTCTTCTCGTGCTGCCGGGAGGCGTGCGCACGAACTTCGCTTCGACCAGTATCCAGGCGACACCACGGCATCCCGCCTATGACCACCCCGGCAGTCCCCTCACCCAACTGCTGGAATATGTGGCCAATCCAGCGTCCCAGGACACCTGGAGCGATCCCGCTATCTGCGCACGGCTCCTCGTCAACGCAGTGGTCGGCCAGCAAGAGAGACCGCTCCCTGTACGTTTGCTTATGGGTGCAGAGACCATTCCCTTAATACGTGGTGACATCGAACGGACACTCAAGGAGATGGATGACTGGAAAGCAGAGACAGAGAGCTGTTCGCCAAAGGGGGGCGCTCGCCTGGGCGTCTCCGCGTGAGATAGATTATGGAGTAGTTTTTCCGTGCGAGTTGGCCAAGTGGCAGGTGTATTAGCGTCTTGGCTACCCGATAGTGAATTTAGCTTCAATGATTCAATCCCACGTCAGCACTCGCCGACCTTTCAGCGGAAACAGGTAGAAGGACCTATTCCCATCGCTATTTCATTATTTTTCTGTTCATCGTCAACCCAACCTCACGGCCTTTTGACCCTCCTGTGATTCTGATGAGCGATATTGAACCTAGGGGCGTTGTGGGAGTCGTGGCACCTACCGCGGATAACGCCTGCGTATCATGCGCTCAGAAGAAACGCAGATGCGATCGAGCTATTCCTGTATGCTCCACGTGTCGACGGTAAGGGATATCCATAGACCGGGAACTTGTTTGGTTTTTAACTTTATACCTAGACTTCGGCGAGAATGTTGCTACACCAGGCTCCAGTTCGTCCTAGCACAGGGTGATTCTGTGTCCACGCCCTCGGAAACTCACCGTATAAATCAGGAGGAGATATTTCACCTCTCTCTTCAGCGACTAAAACAGATAGATGCGACCCGAGACAGATTACTACCGGTAGCAGATGAGCAACTGGCCAATCGAGCTTGTCTGGCGTGCAAGTCCGGAAAGAGACGATGTGACAGGCAATTGCCCAGCTGCACACGATGTACCAGGTACGGCTATCTCTAGTGCTCTGTCTGCCCTAGTAATGGCTGCTGACATTCATAGACTTCGAACTCGGTGCAGGTATTGGAATGGTTTCATCGCTACCTTCGCTCACAATTCTGCTACGTCCTGCTTTGTAGATTCGCTAGCTCTACAACGAGTAGATGGGAAGGTGACATTTCCCGTTCCTACGCAGAAACACATGCCTATGCTACTGCATTCTTGTAGGTGGATGAGCTCCTAGACATAGCTTCTCCGGCTGTTGCAAGTATATATGTCCTGACCATAGGCTCGAAACGGCACCCGCCAATAGTCATTGAGACGTTCGGAATGGCACCGCTCGAGGTCGAGAATGGCAGTCTTGCCTTTCTCCTGCGCTCTGATTGGGTTTCCCAAGCCCTGGCCGACCCTTGCTTCTTCCATGCGACGTTGTTCTCGGCATCTGCTCACCTGGATGCTTTCCAGGGCAGAGACAATAATCATATCACAATATACCACTATACTATGGCGCTGCGGCTCCTTCGCGAGAAGCTAGCTTCTCCTGGTGGTATGCTGGACGACGGAACGATTGCGTGCATTCCTCCGCTAGTCTTCTTCTCGGTGAGCTACTTATGCACCGTGTCTTAGAAATCAGTCCTTAACGAAGATAGTCGATGAGGAGTGACGAGGGCTCATCCCGGATTCATAGGGAAGGCCTGATGAAGTTGCTCAGAGCCAAAGGAGGACTTCATAAGATGGGTTTTGGTGGTTTCTTTTCCGCCTTAATACCCGTGTAAGAGCCCCTATCGACTCATCCGCCCAACGGCCAACAGAGCCTCTGACCCCAGCAGATGTGTCCTGACAGAGGCGATTATATTCGATTCTGAGTTTGACATTCCGGGTCTGGATATTCCACCAACACCCTTGGCGCCGCCGACATGTCTAGTCACGGCCGCTCTCAAGCGGGCCGCGCATCAGACCGGATACTATAACCTTTCCGGCGAATCGATCACCCTCTTCCAGGACATCAGCCTCATTTGCGGATATCCAGATGGACACTACGTGGCCTCAGCAGGAGGGGAGGGCTTGTATAACTCCACCGCGATCAAGTGGCGTAATCAGCTACAACAAAAGATCAGCCAGCGCCATGATGCACCCGAAAATGTCCATCCATCTACCTCCAATGGAATCGATCAATCCTGCCAGGCTGCTGCTTTACTATTCTGGTATCTCCTCGACGATTATTTCTCGGTAAACGCCGGTACTTTGCAAAAGCTACTTCAAAGCTTGAAGGAGGCCTTGGTCAAAACGTCCATGGATACCTGGATCAGGTGCTCCCCCGAGGCACACACATGGATTTGCCTAGTTGGAGCGGTGGCCAGTAGCCCTTGCAGTGAGGATCGAGTGTGGTTTAGTCTGCGCCATGGTCAGCCGGTTGTATGTATTCGCAGTGAAGGCCCATCTCTCTACCTGGCCTGCTGGAGAACGTATGACTGGCTAAATCGTCGGCGGAAATTGAGGCTCAAGCATTAAAATCCCATACTTACCGTTTCATCAAGCTTATGGCGTTCCAAAGTCTTATCCGTGCGCGGACTGTACCTGAATAGACAAGGAGCGATGACACCAGGTTTTGCTACCAGTGGCCTGGCAGTATGTGTCACTTTGGCGTGTCAGTTATATTTGGCATTTGCGTCATTTCGACCTGACCTTGCTTCCTAGAGTTCATACCAACCTCGGAAGTAGGTAAACCTGGGCGACGACTAGCGATTGGTCAGTCCCTAGGTGCGTTAGTGCTTAGTTCCTGAGAACCTACTGAAGCATCCGATGTTCTGCACATTGTAACTGACCCCTGCTACATTGCGGCTGAGTCTTATGCGGCAAGGCGGGCGCTAGTCCGCAGTCTAAGCCCAATATGTCAAGGCTCAATTCAACTATACGACAATTTCGTCTGAAGAACGCTAATACAAGCCACTAATATGTGTGTGGCCCCGTTCGGGTTGCATGGTGGTTGTCGGGTCGGCCGACGCGATTGTCAACAGCCTATTAGAATCCTACATTAGTGCAGCATCGCGTAAAGTTCTACGCATGTCTTAGGAGGAATTGCTCTATCCGGTTCAACGGGGTCAGCAGAAGTATGCACCTACCTATCTCCATTTCTCTCGTGTGGGTCTCGCTGCGGTGAGGCAATATACCTAGTGTACAGATGGCCAAGACAGGATCGGAGTTCCAGATTTACATCCGATTCATGTCGTTTGATTATTCCTGGTGTATATCTTGATCCGCCATGCTGCGGTAGCTGCAGGTATAAGACTAAATCAGGCGATTGGCATCGACAGGGCCGTGGATAAGTTGTATCAAGGCTCCAAGCTGTCAATCCTCGGGCCCAGAAGATTACTTCGGTTATATTATCTCCATTGGCCAGCGAAAGGTAGTATTTCTAGGCAGCTATTTCCAGGTAGCATCCGCGAGCAGGTTCCAGGCTAGGGTGTATATGCTTATTTGCAGCTGTATGATTCCAAAAATCGGCGCTAGCTGTATCTCTAGTAACATCAAGCCAGAGCGGACATGATAGTAGCGCGGTATGAAATGCGAGTAACTAAGCACACAGGCTTTCGATATATTTGAGACTTATATCCCACCTTGCCACTTCCACTACAATACCTCATTTCCTATTCTTCAACCGTCTAAGCCTTACTAGCCTGTCCACTGCAGCAAACGGGACACTATGGTCAACCTCATCTCACTCTCAATCCTCCTTGCTCCTGCCATCCTCGCAGCGCCAACATCCCCGGCGAGCCCTCTTGAGAAACGGTCCACTTGTGGCGTCATTGCCGGTGTTACCTACTATAAGGGCCAAATCTGTGAAACGGGCTCAGAAATAGCTACCATTAAATGGCAAAACTCATGGAGATCATACAACTACCAACGGACTGACGCGCACAGCTTCGCCATCACGAGCGGCGATTACTGGGATATCAACTGTGCACTGTACGACGGGTACAATGGCCAGGGCAATTACCTCGGTGGGCTGGAATGGAATACGGGCTATCGGATTTGCAAGTCCCTGGGGGCTGCTGGGGCTAATGTGAAATCTATTGTTTGTTGGGGAAATAACTGCTAGTTTGTGGGATTCTGCGTATGTGCTTTTGGCAAGAGGCCTGATCGGATTACAAGCCAGAAGGAAGAGGCACACGGTGCAAACACGGTATATCGACCAATTATCCGGTCATTTCAGTATCTCAACTTGGAGAATAAATTCATTATCTATCTGTTGAGGACATGCGTGACTCCATTTCTTACTCTTGGTATGGAAATTCCTTCTCACTGGCAGCAGATATACTTGATCTGCTGCAGTTTGATTATCTGTTTGTCAGAAGGCGAGCGTCCAATTCATACAACGGCACTTAGTGCCCGTTGTTGACACTGCACTGGAGTCGAAGCAGACCAGGCTTTCAAATCAAAGCACAAAAAGGGAAAGTTGTAACGTTCTGTCTATAGTATGCCTGCCATGCGGAAATCGCTTGGACCCAGTTCAACAGGGAAAGGGGCTGGACTAGCTGACATCGATGGCCACGATCCTTTCAGACTCATGTAACCTCTCTGTTCCCAGGGCCATGGACGAATCAGGACCTCGCTTGCTTGAATTCAATCACTACATTACTAGTTTAGCGTCTCGGGGCCTAGTGGAGTAGTCCGCTCCAATTTCAGCACGTTAATCTGGATGCGGCTAATTCTTGAATGATAGCTTTCGAGCATACAATCCTCAACTAGGGCCTACGAGATCTGGTCAAAGTGATTAGGATCGAGTCGGCGGCATATCTGCGTCCACTGAGGTAATTGCTCAAGTAAGATTACTTATAATGTCCCCATAGTCGCATCTCAGAGAGGTTACTTCTAAATATCATCGGTGCCCATCGACCTAGTACAATTCAAAATGCTCCTCCACCTTGGACCGGTTTTCTTCTCTCCCCTCCTCACCACACTCCCCACTATGGCTCATGCAGATTCCAACGACGCCTCGTTTGATGAAGGCGGCATGTTCATACTGAACCTCATCGAACCAGTCTACAACTCCAATATCCTCTCAAAAAGACAGAACAACAACTGCTTCAATTGCACAGCTCCGTGCGCATTTACTGATGGTGTCTATGGCGGCGCCAATGACGTCTCCTACACTAGTTATAGTTTTGAGGTTTTATCTAGGTTAACTAACCCTCACTATTCTGCTTAGTAATTACCGATTTCTAGGATTTCTTTATGAATATTAATATCACTAGATAGCACAATCAGCTCTAGATAACGCCGATGAATATTATGGATACCAGTATCATTCATATTCTTATATCCAGGGACCTCATTTCCTATTATTCCCTCCTCAAACAGGAAAGCTGAAGTGGGAGATATCATTATTGCGCATGGTTGGTGTACAGTATGTGGATCTTATAATGTAGTAATAACATACTTTGCACAATTAGCTAACCAAAAGAGCAGTTGTCGGTCAGGCTGATCAGAGGGGTGAAATTGTAGAAGTCAAAGGTCGGGCTGGAGCCCCTCATTACATGGTGAGTATTCACTATATGATACTTGATACCTTGGTGAAAATATAGCGGATCTAATCTTTTCTCAACCTTGGATTTGTAGGTGCGTTGTGAAGATCGCCATGAGAGCCTAGTATTCCCAGGCCTGGACACTGTTGTACAGCACAGTAAATGAGCATGTGGAGTATAGGTAGATCTATTGGCTTAGAAAGATAATGCCAAGGGAGCTTGATATCTAGGGTTGGATTCGGTATCTGACTGGGCGTGATCCTGTCGCCATACATCCAGTTTCCAGTGAAAGAGGCAGAAGAGGCCTATGAGCTTGTCAAGGGGGATGCCTTGATATATCCAAGGCCATGATTGTCGGTGTGCAGTAAGGTTTATGTTGAATAATATTTAGGGCTTTTGTCCTCCATAGACAKGCATTGAGCTTACCATAGACGCTTCCCCAATCTCCCAGCTCTCCAGATTACTGTTTATTAGTCGAATAGATGGTCGATTATATCTAAATTCTATCAACAACTATCAGTTCTCTGTCCTAATGGTTCGGGTTGGCCAAGATGACAGCAAATGAGATTCTGCAGATGGAGTCACTGACGTCAAAACCCGTTTTAGTGTGGGTATATCCATAACTATAGGTGTCATCTATCAGTCATCTCTGATCCTCAGAACTGAACTTTCCAAAGGGATGATTTAATTGATTGCATTTAATTTCGGACTTTAATTGGGCTATCGTGCTTTACATGAATTGAATTGAATCTGTTCTTCTGGTGATTGTTCATCATATTACTTTACGTCATCCTCAGAATCCCCAAGAATCCCCTCCGTACAAGTATTGCTTTGCTTCTGAACAATAATCACCTCTAGGTGTATCTAGACGTATATTCCACAGATTTTCAGAGTATTAAATATTGAACATGCAATCGAATAAAATACCCACAACGGCGTCTCGGGCTTCATCCGTTGCTGTCTCCCTGGCACGATTTCTCAAGGACCATCCCAATCTTCATCTAGGAGGCGACGCAGATTTCCACCGGGAGCGCAGGGAACACCTTGAGATTCTCGGTTTTTATGCTCTTCCGGCAGAAAAACAAGCTGCCATCGGCAAGGTTGAAGTGCAGATCGTTCCGGGACCCCACGGCAGCATTCCGATCCGCTTGTTCTACCCTCAAGCTATCTTGGGCAACGATACCAAAGACCCCAAGGTAGCTGCGTTGGTGTACATGCATGGGGGCGGGTATACTGTTGGCTCGATTGACGAATTCGAGAATGGATTGCGGTTGCTAGCTGAGGCAACCGGGGCCATTGTATGCCAAGCAGCTCCTTCATAAACTTCCTTGGCTTATTTAACAGACTATTGGCGTCGAATACCATCTTGCACCTGAGCACCACTTCCCAACTCAGCTAGACGAGTACTCAGCTGTCATTGACTGGGCACAAGGTGTTGAAGGCTCCTCGCGCGGCATTGACCCCGACCTGGTCTTTGGCGGCGGCGATTCTGCCGGTGGTAACATGACCGAGGCCATCGCCCTGCGACGGCGGGACCAGAAAGTCAAGAATATCGCCGGCCAACTGCTTCTCTACCCGGAGTCCCGGCCCCCATTTGATACCCCCGCCGCCGTTGAGAATAACACCGGCGGCAGCTTGTACCTCGTATGTAATGGGATCTTCAGCTTCGCGGACCACTATCTCTCCAAAGAACAGGGCAAAACTGTTCCTCCGAGCAATCGCTATGTGAGTCCTGGTATGCAGAGTGCTGATGATCTTCATGACCTGCCGCCAGCGGCCCTATTCACTTGTGGCTTTGATCCGCTGCGGGATGTGGGCGTCGAGTATGGGAGTAAACTGCAACAGGCTGGAGTGGATATCCGGTGGCATCACTATCCAAATCTGACGCATGGATTTCTACAGTTTGCGCCATGGTCTCAGGAATGTATGGATGCTGTGATGGATGTTGCTCAAGAGCTGAAACGGCTGGCGGGTGGCAGCAGGTCAGCGTTTATATAGTTCTTTCGGCGGGGAAAATACAGACATTGGAATCAGTTGTTGGTCTGCAGGAAGAGCATTAGCTGTACGTACCCTAATAATCAAATCTATGTAGAAAAGTCATTGATATTCTTATTGGAAGTCTAGAGAGAGAGGGAGCCACATTCCACTCCTCATCCTTACCAAGACTCATAGCTACTGCCATCTCATCGACCGGGAGGAAGTCCTATATTTGACTATGTCTCAAGACGCGTAAACCTGTGTAGTGGGTATTGAGAAAGACAGCAACTTACACCGCAGATCTTTTCATTCCATACCACAGCACGTCCACGCCTCTTTCCAGCTCCCACCAAAGCTGTTCAGCATGTCCTCTTGTCAATCGACTATTCCGACCTAGCGGCTGGCAATTTCCGTCCTGGAGCCAAAGGCGTCGCTGTATATCAATTTCAACAACCCACATTTGCTGGAATCCCGGCCGATGATGCTCCAATCTACGCCTTAAATACGTACGACGTCCAGTTGAGAAGTGTCAAAGGTCTCTGAACGGCGTGCGGAATGAAAGTGCATGAAGCAAAATGGGTTAGGGTTTGTAGGGTCGGGAGTAAAATATCTTTCATTAAGACGATTAACTCAAGCATGATATAATGAAATTAATTCCCCGAGGGAAATCAATTTTACCCCAATTACCATGGCCTTGCTGCTCCCATTAAGGCCCTATACATATTGCCGTCCTTGGAAACTTGTATCTCCAATCTTCGCTTATATAAAAATCTACGAAGTTTACAGCACCTTTATTTATACGACAAACTGAATTGTGGATATAATATTTTAAACTCAGGGGCTCACCACCGCCCCAGTTAAGCTTATTTAAGCTTATTGGCGGTCATTGGTTCCTGGACACAGTCCTTAGCAGGTGGAGCTTGTCCAACTTCCTTTCCGTTGGTGAGCCTCGTTTGTCATCTGCATAGTCATGGTTGCTCAAGATCAAATGGTCTGTCAGATTTTGTACTACGAAACTAAGCTTTGCCCTCATTGCTGCTACAGAATCAGGGATTACCCGATTTAGTAAGATACGAGCCTTTACGTTGATTCGCCGGCTAGGGCCTAGGGATCTGCGACTAAGTCTTGGAAGTCTTCCAATGTCTGGGCCCCAGTAAAAAACTGGACTGGGTCATGGTCCACATAGTATACAGACATCTGTCAGATTCGCTAGATGAAAAGAGATGTTCTCTTGTGTGTTCCATGATGTTGTGTTGATTGTTCTAAGTCAGGGGCCATGTATCTAAAGCGGACTCTCTGCTGGTCTACCTAAGAGCTGACTAATCTAACAGCATCCTTGCAATACAGCAATCTTACACAGGCTACTGTACCCATATCCTTGTTTCTCCCCACTGATCCCAAACAAAGAAACGCGTCGGGAGGGGTACTCAGGGATACTCAGGGGCGTAAACAAAAAAGCGAGCATTCAGCTCAGCCTCGCTTCAACGATCCTCTAGCTTCATCCTGACTCCTTTCCTGGACTTGACCACCATAACTGACTGCCACTGCCCCCTTGGATGATTGCTAGACTACCTCACCATGCCGAGCCGCGATCTTCGAGACCAGCAAGCGCCTGCCAACCCTCCCTTGAACCCGGTCGGCTCAGGGCCGGCAGATGCACACAGCAATGAGGAAGAGGGTGATCCGTTCAAGCATCTGCCTGAGCACGAGAGGGTCATCCTCAAGAGACAGTTGGATCTGCCTGCCACCAAGGTCAATTACATGACGCTGTATCGTTATGCGAGACGGAATGACACGATCATCCTGGTCATCGCCTCGCTCGCAGCAATCGTCGGCGGTGCACTCATGCCTCTGATGACCGTCGTGTTTGGAGGGCTTGCAGGCACCTTCCGCAGCTTCCTACTGGGCGACATATCTGACAGCCAATTCACCAGCGAGCTTGCCAGATTCTCTCTGTACTTCCTCTACCTCGCTATTGGCGAGTTTGTGATGGTGTACTTGGCCACGGTCGGTTTCGTGTACGCTGGTCAACACATCACAGCAAAAATCAGACAGCAGTTCTTGGCCGCCATTCTGAGGCAGAATATTGCTTTTTTCGACGAGCTCGGCGCGGGTGAGATCACCACACGCATCACGGCCGACACCAATCTTGTCCAGGAAGGTATCTCAGAGAAAGTAGGATTGACCTTGACAGCCGTCGCGACCTTTATGGCCGCGTTCGTGATTGGTTTCATCAGATACTGGAAGCTCACGCTGATTCTGTGTTCCACTGTCGCCGCGATTGTTGTTACATTGGGCGCCGTGGGCTCGTTTGTCGCCAAGCTCAGCAAGAAATACCTCGGCCATTTTGCTGAAGGAGGAACGGTTGCGGAAGAGGTCATCAGCTCGATCCGAAATGCGGCTGCGTTCAATACGCAAGAGAAGCTGGCTCGACGATACGACGGGTATCTTGTCGAAGCAGAGAAGTCCGGTTTCAAGCTCAAGTCCGCCACCAGCTCAATGATTGGTTTCCTCTTTCTGTAAGTACAGCGAGTGGCGCAGCATCTTGCCGTCCAAATGGCGGTCTCTTGAATTACGTCAAACAGCCCAGCGTTCTGACCTTGCCTTTGTTGTTATAGGTACATCTACCTCAACTACGGCCTGTCTTTCTGGATGGGCTCCCGCTTCCTGGTGGATGGGTCCGTTGGATTAGCGCAAATCCTCACTATCCAAATGGCCATCATGATGGGAGCCTTTGCCCTCGGGAATATTACACCGAATATCCAGGCCATCACCACAGCGGTCGCCGCAGCCAACAAGATATACGCAACCATTGATCGTGTCTCTCCTCTCGACCCTTTATCGACCGAGGGGCAGAAGCTGGAGGAACTGCAAGGAAATGTGGAACTCAAGAATATCAGACACATATACCCTTCCCGCCCCGAAGTTGTTGTGATGGATGACGTGAGCTTACTGATCCCCGCGGGCAAGACTACTGCACTTGTTGGGGCTTCAGGCTCTGGGAAAAGCACTATAATCGGGCTGGTTGAGCGTTTCTACGATCCCGTCGGTGGATGCATACACATCGACGGCCATGATATCAAAGACCTGAATCTACGCTGGCTGCGACAACAAATTTCTCTGGTGAGCCAGGAGCCTACCTTATTTGCTACTACGATATTTGGCAATATCAAGCACGGTTTGATCGGAACAGCGCACGAGCATGAGTCCCAAAAAGCAATTTGTGAGCTGGTCGAACGTGCTGCTCGAATGGCAAACGTAAGTAAGGCAAATGTCATAATGCCCTGCCTCAGACACACCCTCTCTGCATGTAGCACATACGATACGATGTTCTGACTTCTTTGCTTTTCAGGCCCACGACTTCATCACGTCCCTTCCTGAGGGCTACACAACCGACATTGGCGAACGAGGGTTCCTTCTCTCAGGAGGTCAGAAACAACGCATTGCCATTGCTAGGGCCATGGTTAGCAATCCTAAGATCCTACTACTTGACGAAGCAACATCCGCACTCGACACGAAGAGCGAGGGAGTTGTGCAAGCCGCACTCGACAAAGCTGCCCAGGGACGGACCACTGTGATCATTGCTCACCGACTGTCTACTATCAAGAATGCGGACAATATTGTGGTTATGTCCCACGGACGTATTGTTGAACAGGGCACCCACGATGACCTTCTCCAGAAGAAAGGGGCTTACTACAACTTGGTCGAGGCTCAGCGAATCGCGACGAAGCAAGAGTCTAGAAACCAAGATGAAGAGCCCATTCTGTCTGAAACCAATTACGATTTGCGGCGACCCGAATTCAAGGAGCATCGCTACATCTCAGACAAAGAGGTTCAAGGAGAAGACCCTGACGACCTTCAGGTGGACGAGACACGATCAGACAGGACTGCATCGAGAAAGACACTTGCGAAGAAAGGACAAGAGGACATTGCCGACAACTATACCTTGTTCACACTGATTCGGTTTGTCGCTGGTTTGAACAAAAAAGAGTGGAAATATATGGTCTTTGGACTTTTACTCTCGGCCGTTTGTGGTGGAGGTAATCCAACACAAGCCGTCTTCTTCGCGAAGTGCATTACAGCTCTTTCGCTTCCTCTTTCAGAGAGCTCTGAGATACGGCGACAAGTCAATTTCTGGTCGCTGATGTATTTGATGCTCGCCTTTGTACAGCTGCTCGCTCTCACCTCTCAGGGTATTGCGTTCTCTTACTGCGCAGAGCGCCTTACCCATCGGGTTCGCGACCGAGCATTTCGATATATCCTCCGGCAAGACATTGCCTTTTTCGACAAACGTTCCTCGGGTTCTCTCACTTCTTTCCTGTCCACTGAGACCTCCCACCTGGCTGGGCTGTCTGGGATTACTCTTATGACGATTCTCTTGCTGGTCACCACCATAGTTGCCGCCTGCGCCATTGGTCTGGCCGTAGGGTGGAAGCTTAGTCTGGTGTGCATGTCCACCATCCCCCTCCTTCTCGCTTGTGGGTACTTCCGTTTGGCCATGCTGGTCCGACTCGAGAAGGAGAAGAAGGAAGCTTACAAAAGTTCCGCGAGCTATGCCTGCGAGGCCACTTCAGCCATCCGAACCGTGGCTTCCTTGACCCGCGAGGCGGACGTTTGCAATCACTACCACGAACAGCTCCTCTCGCAAGGCCGCAGGTTAGTGTTGTCGGTTCTCAAGTCATCCGTTCTTTACGCGGCATCTCAATCACTTCAATTTCTTTGCATGGCTCTCGGCTTTTGGTATGGAGGTATCTTGTTCGGCAGACACGAATATTCCATGTGGGTAGATGACAATTCCGCGAACAGACGCCGTATTAGTTCTAACCCTTATGTTCAGGTTCCAATTCTTCTTGTGTTTCAGCACAGTCATCTTCGGGGCACAGTCTGCAGGGACCATCTTCAGCTTTGCCCCAGATATTGCCAAAGCCACGCACGCTGCTGCTAGTCTCAAGGATCTCTTCGAGCGGACGCCGGAAATCGATAGCTGGAGCCATGATGGCGAGATGGTCCAGAGTATAGCAGGCCATGTCGAGTTCAGAAATGTCCACTTCCGGTAMCCGACGCGACCAAACCAGCTCGTTCTGCGAGGTCTCAATCTGCACGTCAAGCCCGGGCAGTACGTTGCGTTCGTCGGAGCTAGTGGATGTGGCAAGTCCACTGCAATTGCCCTCCTGGAGAGATTCTACGATCCAGTCCTCGGCGGAGTCTATGTCGACGGCAAGGAAATCTCGTCATTCAACATCAACAGTTACCGCTCCCATCTCGCACTTGTCAGCCAAGAGCCAACGCTCTACCAAGGTACCATCCGTGAGAATATTATGCTGGGTACAGACCGAGATGACGTTTCGGAAGACGAAATGGTGCTATGCTGCAAGAACGCAAACATCTACGATTTCATCATCAGTCTGCCAAACGGTTTCGATACCCTCGTTGGTAGCAAGGGCAGCATGCTGTCAGGTGGCCAGAAGCAACGTCTTGCAATAGCTAGAGCATTGCTCCGCAACCCCAGAATCCTTTTGCTGGATGAGGCCACTTCCGCTCTCGATTCAGAGTCCGAAAAGCTCGTGCAAGCTGCTCTGGATAATGCAGCTAAAGGCCGCACGACGATCGCCGTGGCGCATCGTCTCAGTACGGTGCAAAAGGCAGACATGATCTATGTCTTCAACCAAGGCCGCATCATCGAGTGTGGAACACATTCTGAGCTGATGCAGAAGCGGTCGGCATACTTTGAGCTTGTCCGCTTGCAGAATTTGGGCGAAATGTGACTCCTCTACCTGGGGACACCGAATCTTTGGCGTTTCTCAGAAAACGTCTGGTCGGAGAGTGACTATCGAATGGATTCTTTTTCTTCTCTTTTCTTTTTCGATGCCTGATGACTATGGTCATCCTGTGATCCTTACCTTTGATTATTTTTCTTCCCGTCTACGGAATCCTTCTCTGTATTTATCGCTTAACACTTCACCTGCTAGCCCAGTTCCCAGATCCCAAGCTTGCAGCAGCGACATTTTGGTATGAGTTTTATTATGGCCTTTTCTTACATAAATTGCGCTACCGGTGAAAGGTTGAGGAAATGCACAAGAAATACGGGCCAATTGTTCGCATCAACCCAATTCACTTACATATCAATGACCCCAACTACCGCGATGAAATATATGCCGGAGGCAAGCGTAAGCGCAATCGAGATCCCTGGTACTACCGCTCTGAGTCAAATGGCCCTCTGGGATGGCTTGGCATGATCGGCTAATCCTCCTTTCCATATATCTTCTCGTTGATCTTTTCCGCTTTTTGGTTCCATTTTTCGTCCGCTTCACCATAATCCTCTTCGAGAAGCGCTTTTAGGATGTAGACTGCACAGCGAGCAGTCCCAAAGCCCAATGTCCAGCCCGAACCTCCGTGTCCATAGTTGTGAACCAAAGGAAAGCCAGCCCGCGTATCCGCTCTCACCTTGACGTTCTTCTTGGTAAAAGGCCGCAAACCTTGAGCAAATGGGTAGTGATGGACAAACTCAGCATGTCGAAGGCTTGGCATGAATTCTCCAGCCCGATCCCACATAACGCGAACCTCAGGTGAACCAGGCTCTAGATTCGCCTGGTCATTATGTGGCTGGATAATTGACCCGACATAGAGAATATCGTCATTGCGGGGAACAATGAAAACGACGCCGGTGGGCGCCCCATTATTGTCCTTCTGCGCGGGAACGAGGTAGGCGTCATTCAAGTGATTAAATTGTCCATTACGAGTGTTGTCAACTCTCAGAATGGCGCCACGGACGGGGTAAACGTCCTCGTCACCGAGTAAAGCTTTAGCACCGAGGCCGGTGGCATTCACCACTGCATTAGCATCAAAAATCTCCAATAGGCTCTTGCCCTGATCGCGAAGATTACCCTTGATTTCTCGGGTCTCGAAATTGGCGCCTTTGCATTTCACCAGAGCCATGAGATATGCCATGGCCTTGTCCGTATTGATAATCGGGGCGTCATGAGTATAGCCGCATTTGAAGCCTCCACGGTAATCACGGCTGAAACTGAAGTCCTTGAACTCCCTTTCGAGGTCTTCCGTAGTTCTGTACCTCTTGTAGCCATGCATTCTGTGATCATCAACAGCTTCTTCGATACCCTGCAGTTTGATGGCATGGCTATCGTTCGCGTTAGGGTCACGGCCAGTGTCCCTTTTCAGTTCAATCGGCTCGAAAAAGAACTGGTGGAGCTGGGTGATATTCAGTCCGAACGACCGCCCTCTTCTTTCATGGGAATTTTGTATCTCTGCATAATTTTTGTAGAACTCGTAGCTCTGCAGAGCCCATTCTTGGTAGTGTTCTAGGGTGGACCATCCTTTACCCGCAGATACAATCTCGGTCAACCCACAGCCGCCTGGAGGGTACTCCCACAGCGCCCCCGCAATTTGTGAGGTGATGCGAGACTTCCCGAAATCTTTTGTCCACGCCCACTGTTCCGCCACGAGTGTGACTCGGTATCCGGAATCAAGAAGTATCCAAGCGACGGTCAATGCGCTGACGCCACCGCCCAAAATGAGGATGTGTTTGCTATCTTTGTTGCGCTTCTCCATGGGCTCATCGTTTGTAGATAGCTGAATTCTAGGGTATTCGAAATCGACTGCTCTACCGTCCCTCGTTATCGTTTGTCTACTTGCACGAAGAGTCACAATGCCATTGTCTGCCATGCTTATAGTGCAAAGATACTGCGACGCGTACGGTAGTGGGTAGACGTCACTGTTTTGAGGAGCGTAGGGTCGTTGTATAGTGTATTCCCGTCAATGATAAAATCTGGATTGCGAAAAGCGAAGGAAGGCGATGCAAATTGCAGGTATTTTAAACGGTAGGCCATGAAGGTAATTTGCAGCACCAAGAATATATCATCTCTTTTGGGTATATAGTAAGTATCCGTAACGCCGCTAACCCTGCCGCTTTGTTATTGGATCCTACAGCTCAAGATTGGACAGCCTCATTGTATTCATAAATTTCGGGACATACTGACCAACGGGGACTACAAATGCTACGGTCATTAAAGGCTTGTCACAGCCTCTCTCAGGTGGCACATATGAAGGATCAAACGCGCAGGGGTTCATTTCCTGCCAAGCAAAATCCTCCCAAATCAGAAATGATACCGGGAGTCTGCAATTTTCGCAGAATAATGCATCTTTTCTCTAGTATTTATCCAGCTCCAGCTGTTGTGGGTTACTGTGGTACATTCGCGGGGTCCAGGTCTTCCCCTAGCACGCCCTGACCGTCCTGCTGTTCTGTAGTATGATTGGGTCTTGACAGGTATTGGCTGCGTTGTGTTGCTAATTTATGGTGGCCCACACAGCACAATCATACCTAACCATAATGTGCATGACGCGTGCAATTCCCAGGCCAACCAATTGGGCCATTGCCCAGGCCCCTTTTGGATGACCTGAGGCCCCGATTAATTTGAGTCATTTTCCCTTCCCTGTCACGTCTAACACAGGTGATAAGAAGATCCGCTCACCTGGGATTAATGTGAAGTAAGACTGTCCCAAGGGGCCGATTAAGGGCATGTAGGCTTAATATGATAAGACCTTTGCTCATGGTTCCAACAGGTAACTCAGGGCGGAGGATGTGCTTCCTCTGAGTAGTTGAAACTGACCTGGTCGCAACGTCGATTACGTTGAGTGGACCCGACAGTTTGGGATAGGGTGTGATAGCTATACATTAGCGCGATGTAGGTTTGGCTTGGCCTTGACCCTGGTGCCCTTTTGACCGTCTGGTAAATGGCTTGTCTCAAGATTTGGATTCTCTAACTAGGTACCCAATGTTTGCCAGTAGACCATCAACATTTGTCTTTATGACATTGACATTGCATTGCGAACTCACATATACATCAAGTCAATGTGAATGTGACTAAGACTTAATCCATTTATTTCAAACACCAATTTTAAGCAAACAACATATTCTCCTTGAGCAGTCAAACTGCCAAGATCTCACAATGTCCCTCGAGTTGTTGAGTCTCTCATCCCAAAATGGCTTTGCTTCGCATCTCCGCCACTTCGAATCAAGTTACAGGAGGTTGCTTTGATGAGCAAAGTCATAATACTGCCACTTAATATCCAGTGCTAGGTGGCTGTAAGGTGCACCATGCATCCATGTCTAGTAGAGAGCTCAGCCACCGCCACCGCTTAAGGACAACAAAACCCCGTGGACGACAGTCCTGGAAACCAACAAGGATAGACTAGCTTAAATTGAAGGGCCTATTAAGGATGAATCAATGCTGCTCTTCAAAAAATCGAACCCATTCTGCCCCCACTAATCAAGTTTCTTGAGACCCGCTTCCAAGTTTCTGCCAGGAACCTGTCTAGGTAGGCAGGTTCAACACCCAATCGTTCTGTCCATTGTCCCAAAGCTTTATCTGTTTCGTCTTGAATGCATGCCAGTCCATACACTATCAACTTACTCTGATATTTCTCAGCCTTGAACGGGAAGGGGCTGTGGCTGTATATAATATATCTAATGCTGAATTTTCTGGCAATGGTTGGTGCGAGTGGCAGTCTAATGTGGCCACAGGTTGAAAGTCTAACCCTTTTAAAAACACTATCATGGAGTATATAACTCATTCATATCTCTCCTTTTCGCTGTCTGTGAAGAAGGAGCAACGGGGTATTCTTATTCCCAATGGTCCCTCACCCGAGGACGTACCGGTTGTACTTCAGTTGATGAAAGCCTGCATAGCGCCAAACAAGAGCTGGCCGGTCCGTCACGTCCCATCCTTATTCACTGCATACACTACATGGTAGACTTCCCCTGAAGCAACTTCTTGAGATACGGCATTTCCAAATTCATGGAACTACAAAGTAATAGGACGAAGTCAGTACATATAGCTTAGAATCCCAGAGAGGCCGACCTCTCCTGTTATGCTTTATTGGCTGCGCTTTGGTAACAATATATTCGCAAGTACGAAAACAAAATACAAGTAGCTTGGTACAACGCTTGATACAAGCTTTCAGAGGATTGCGACTCCTCAATCTTAACTACAATGGAATCCTCCGAGGGTGCAAAATAACAGCAGTTGCTGCCTAAGAATCCATGACCTTCACTAACTGGCATAGGGATTCTCTGACAACGCTGCTAGCCGAGGACCAGAATGACAGTATACTCATTACGTAACGTTTCCTGATATAATTATATAAATATGGATTTAGTGACACTAGAGCACCATATCAGCCTAGGCTAGATTTCAGAGTACATGGCCCTACATTCTAGATGGGTTTAGGGTACCCAAGTGGGCCAGTGTTAAGTGCTGCTTTCAGTTCAGCCCCAAGGATAGTGCGTAGTAAGTGTCATTTTAGTAAGACAAGGCTTAGCAAGATTAAGGCTAGCGCCGGGGAGATAAGGCAGTCTTAATTTACATCCCCCCAACCAGAGTTTGCATGTGGATCCTGTCAGGGCCCACACTATACATAAAGAAGTACACCTGTTGTATTCCCTGCTGTGCTGACCCTACTACTATCATTCCTACTGGCTAGAGATGGTTGTCTGGACACCTTTTTGGCTGAGCGGTTGGATGTATGACAACACCTGTTTGGGAAGATAAAAACAAAATACCAGCCAAGTAGAGAATATCCAACAAAGAAGTAATTGAGGATGAGGTACAGATTCCTTTCTATATTTACTCTTGAGGGATAAAAGGTTGCATCCACTATATGATTATGTTTTTCTTTAAAAAGGAGAATGATGTAAATAGCTACAGATGATTTATTATTAAGAGAAATTTTACGAGCGCCTTCTATGGTGTATAATCCTACACTCTTGAAGCTGATACTTGCGATTATCCGCCTTAAATGAGGAAAGGTATCAAGATGAATTCGGCTAAGAACCGCATCGTCAAAGCCGGCTGCTCCGTTTGTCGTCAAGAATACAATTTCTTCATGGTGTTAGATCTTAACATACTGGTCATCTAGGCCTTCTAGTCACCCGTAATTAGTAAAAATATGCACTCCACGCATGACACTATTACTAGGTGGAATTATAGGCATATATATTTAGTACGGAGAATATCGACTCTGTGCATGATACTATTACTCGGACTGTAAGTTGATTATTATGGAGCACTGGGCAGGATTAAAAGAGATTCAATACTAGAAGTGAACATTGTGAACTGACTGTAAGAAATATACATGGAATATAGCATACTTCGTAAATGATTTATCATATTCCAAGGTCCGCGAATTATATACTCGCTTATCTGCTGCTGTTATCAGGGATCAAATCAAAGATATCCTGATGATATCTTCAGCACAAGAGCTTCCGCCTCTGTCCTAAGCATACCACCCAAATCAAAGTCTATCTAAAACCTCTCATCATGGGAAACACGCGCCATCTGATGAAGTCTGCTAGAAGTCTTCGACCGTTTCCGCGGAGTATACAGCACCCCGTCAGCCTGCTGTGGCAGTTTATTAGGCCTAGTCCGTAGATCCCACTGACGCTGTAAACCAACTAAAAGGTCTTTTGCTCTTTGGGCGCTTTTCCAGGAAAGACTGAACTCATCCAAGGCTCTGAAACAAGTCGTTAGATACAGTGAGATATTACCTTGAGAGTCGGAGGGGTATTTCGAGACGGCGGCGAAGAGGAGGAATAGGATGGCGGAGGATGTTATAGAAACTGCTTGTACATTAATTCGGCGCAGTGTGTAGCGAGACTCATACATATTCAGAATTTTGGAGATAGCTATGGCGGATTGGATGCACATTTCGCGGGCGTGCGTGTATCCGGGTCCTCTTGGTGGTTGCGGTTGTAGGTGGCTTTTTGATATCCATGGTCTGTGGGCGTAGATTATGTTCTGGTGGTATTGCATGCTTTGCTGTCGGTTAGAGAGAGATGTGGCAAGAAAGCAGGTTACTTACTGGAGAAGCAGCACATGCGGAAGGTATGGCGAGGCGGCATCATCAAGATCAATCTGTAAAATAGGCGGAAGGGTAGCTTTCCACTTTTGGAGCTCAGCGACAATTTTCGCATTGAGCTCTTGTAGAATCTCTTTTGAGATACTGGAGGTACCGTATCTGTTGGGGATGTCAATCGGTGCCGGACGTGATATTAACATAGATTCTTACAGGATATACCCGCAAGGAGCCATCAGCTCGCAAAGGGAAACTAGTTGTTGGCTGATTGCGTCTTTGATGTCCAGCAAACCAGAGTCGTGGCTGGCAGAAGACGACGGCTCGCAGGATGTCCATCCGAAATGCCCTCTGGAACCTGCGTTCTGACAGGGCTTTCCAACCGTCACATCGTCCATGCTGGTGCGAAAGGGTCTACCTAGATGGAATCCTAATTGGCTAGACAATAGTTAGAAAATCTACGTACCCAAACATATGCAGTGGGAGGGTATGACAAACTGGTCAACAATGTATGCGGTCCAGAAGACAGTCCTGCGAAGGTCTGCATCGGCAGCTGAGATCATCCCTGCAGACACGTAGCTAGACATGTCAAGGTGCAAAGCAAGATCGAATGCTAGCCTCAATGCCGATCCTTATGCACCAAGTAAGTTTTCTTGAATGAATTCACTGAGGTTTCAAGATGGAGTTACCGCTATATAGCCACCCTCTTGCATCTTTTCCGTTTCCAATCTCATGGCTGCTCAAGATGACCAATGCTTGAATGGTGGCAACACAAGGAGAATCTAATTCTGTTTCAAGTATTGACTTGGCGCGATCGCCAAAGAAATCGACAAGCGTCTTCGGAAACGTGATAAAGGTCGGATGGTATCGAGACTCGAAAGCACTACCAAGCGCACACCTTGCTGGAATTGTCAGGGTGGGTGCTTCGAGAGCATTGGCAATAGAAATGACTCACATTGCACTCCGCAGTGCCTCTGAATAGAAAGGAGTCTCTTCCATATTTTTCCACTTTTCTTTTGCTTCTTCGTAGATACGTCGATCAACGACATGGAATGACGGGTCCTGCCAGGTGAAATAAAGGTCGAGAAGGTGATCTTCTACAGCCGCAGGAATTTCGTCCTCTGGCCCATAAGGATAGGTGAGGCTTCGCTGATCGGCTTCGTAACTGTCAGAGGATGACATTTCCCTCAAATTGAAGGTGGATGTTGGGCCATAAAAACGTGTCTTCCCTCCAGGGCCGATTTTTAAGGTACCAACCCGGTCGGAGATCTCATCAACCAGGCCTTCGATGTCGGATATGCTAGCCGGTTCCTTGAAAAGGGTAGAGCCACTTTCGCTATAAACGGTTTCGATAGATCCTGTCTGGGCCGTTGGTGGTATAGCCAGTCCATCATTTGGCGAAGAGCCTAAGAATAATTGTTGTTGTTGTTGCATGTCGGATGAAGAGGGCGTAATGTTTATACCGAAGTCTAGGTCAAAAAGCCAGGCGTTAAATATACTGCCCGGACTGTCTTCTGCCAAGAGCCTCAAGACCGATTGATCACCTTGAAGGGCAATGATTGAAGAGTCATTAAGTTGTGGAATTGACGACAAAGCCGAATCCGGTAAACAGTCACCGTGCTCAGTTAAGGGCGGACTGATGGCTTGCTGTGTCATTCCAAGGGAGTCAAGAATGTTTTGCAGGGTAGCACCCTTATCATCAGGCATTTTGGGGGGCTGAAGGCCATTTTCATGAATAAATTGACACAATTGATCGACTCTGAAGGTCAGAAGCTCTATTGCGACACGAAGAGGTAACCTATCATCATGGTGAAGTCTTAGTCTCAAGATGGTCCCATCATGATTGCACAGTAGAATAATTATCTCACTTTCTCTTATCAAAGGTTTGATAGCGGCATTCCTTTTTTTTGCTTGTGCAATGAGAGCAAGATGGTACTTTGCCATCACACTGTTTTTGAGTTAATTTAGCAAAGAGTTAAAATTGTGGCAGGAAATACCTTCACTTTGCTCTCCCGACATGAGATGCATGCCATGGTGGCATGTCGTCGCTTCACATACTGTTTTGTAGAGCTCATTATTGTGATGTACCCTGTCCTGATGGAAACAACAGGAACAGAATACAAATGAGATTGAGAAACCCGGGGTATGCAGACTACCCCGCAATGGTGGTTGTAGATTGTGGAGTTCGCCCGTTCTGCAGATCCAATCGGTCAAACCCCGCTCGGACTCGGTGTAGTAATGACGTTCCGGTTCGGTGAATGGATTCCGGCGAACTTTCTCTTCAGATTCAACTGCTTTCATGTTAATATTGCATCTCACCGGGCAGTAGTAATATAAATCTCATGTAAATTAAGTAGTCTGGCATTCCCTGGATGGGCTTCGAATTGGATCTGCTATCTCGCTATTTCTCATAGATACTGATGAACCCATCATCCTTTTAACCCTTTTTGCGATATTTCTACAAGACGCCCAGGGAAAAGCGCTTCAGTATGCGATCACTGCTGCTTGCGGTGCTGGGTTTCTTCTCTTCGGCCATGACCAGGGTGCTTTTGGTGGCCTCCTGGACAACGAACCCTTTTTGAGGTCCTTTGACTTCCCGGGGGCTACGATCCAAGGTCAGATTGTGGCAACATACGACATCGGCTGCATTACCGGAACACTCGTGTCCATGTATGCCAGTGACAAATTGGGTCGTAGAAGATGTTTTCTCATCGGCTGCGCGATTTTGATCGTCGGTGCAATCCTCCAAACGGCTTCAAATGCCCTCGCGCAGATGATTGTCGGCCGTGTGGTCGCAGGAATCGGAAACTGAATGAATGCCATTGCTATACCTATCTGGCAGACAGAAACTGCGCGGCCAAAAGATCGGGGTATTCTCATTTCTTTTCAGCTGATCACAGATGTTTTTAGCATTGTGATCACAAATGTAAGTACTCATCAGCCTTAATAACCAAGCCTAATAACTCACTGGGATGTAATGGATGAACTACAGCTTTACCTTTATTCCACACTCAGATATGAGCTGGCGTTTTCGTCTGGCATTCCAGTGCTTCTTTGCCATCATTACCATTGCCTTAGTTCATGTCGCACCAGAGTCGCCTCACTGGCTTATTATGAAGAATCATATTACTGAGGCACAAAACATTCTTGCTAGGCTCTTATCAGAGCCAGATAACGATCTTTCTGTTACCAGTGAGATTCAAAATTTAGTTGCTGCTGTTCAAGGCTGAATTGCAGAAGTCGGTGACCAAAGAAATTTTCACTTGGGATAGCAAGCAGCAAACACTTCGCCATATGCTTCTGGGAGCTGGTACTGCATTCTTCCAACAGGTGGGAGGTGCCAACATTATTGCATATTACCTCCCAGTGGTCTTTACGCGATCAGTCGGTCTGAGCAGTCGCACGGCTTTGATCTTGTCCACTGTAGATTCCATGTCGCTCATGTTCTGGGGCTCAATTGCAGCTCTCTTGATCGATCATGTTGGGCGAAAGAGGCTAATGCTCATGGGCGTGGCAGCCACTAGCGTTTATTTTGCTCTTGTTGCTGTGGGTTTGCGATATGACGGGCCAGACAACAAGGGTATGTCGATCATGGCTGTGGTTTTCATTTTCGTCTACTACGTCTTCTACAGATTGTCGCTCCTATCGTAATTCCCTATATATACCCCGCGGAGATCAATTATCAGAAAATGCGCAACATTGGCACGTCTTTTGCCACAACAGTCCATTGGCTTTTCGTCTATGTTGTTGTTGCGGCCACCCCTACCGCGATCCAAAAAGTCCAGAGGCGGTATTACATGCTCTACTCCATTTTCAGGTTTTGCTTTATCCCACTAATATACTACTTCTACGTTGAGACTGCGACATTGTCCTCAGAACAAGTTGATCGACTCTTTGAAATCAAGCATGATGCAGGAAAAGACATATGAGTTGGGCAGACGCGACACGGATCGCTCGTACTGAGAGTGATGATTTGCAGGGTGTGTATGGAGAAGGATGCCATTATTAATGCAGAGCACTGCGAAACTGCTCCCTGAATACACCATGGCAAATCGAAATATGGCCGAGATGGATCGGAGTGGGTGTATTTGGAAACATTCACTTTGAATCTCAATGTACATCCAGTTAGTAAGGAGTTCATAGCATCTGCCAACTATCCTTTCATTTTGATTTCCACTTACCTCGGATCCATTTCCCCGCTGAACTGGTATACTTTAGGATCTTGGGAGTCAGGTACTCATGACCAGCCTATTCGTAGCATTTCGTATATTATCATCGGACATTGAAATCCGAAACTTTTGCTAGAGTCCCACACCAGGACCACACGGCACAAATGGGCTCCGTTGTGTATATAGCCTTGACCCCCGTCCTCGCCTTTTCTGTGTCTCTTCAAGCTCTTGAGACATCTTCTTTCTTTCATGATATCAGTTTCGCAATAATGGTCACCCAAAAACTCCGTGTCGGTATCGCAGGCCTTGGCCGTATGGGTAGGCATTCCCACTCTCGTGATATTCGCAGTATATCTAACCGTAAACAGGCAAGCGCCATGCCATCAACTTCCATGAGCTCACTGCCCGCGCAGACGTGGTAGCTGCAAGTACTCCCGATCATAATGAGCGTGACTGGGCAGCGGAGAACCTTCAAGGGGTGCAAATCTTCCAGGACTACGATGAAATGCTCGAAAAAGCCGATCTGGAAGCTGTTGTAATTGCGAGTATCACCGCTGTGCACGCAGAGCAAGCTCTGAAAGCAATTAAGAAAGGTCTTCATGTTCTCTGCGAGAAGCCATTGAGCATTGATGTTGAAGTGGTATGTTCATTTGCCCCTTATCCTTGTGAAGATTTGATGCCGACGAGCGATACTATGGCATAGGCCCAATCTGTGGTCTCCGCATACGAGCAGTCCCTCAAAACATATCCGCAGCAAAAAGTGATGTGCGCCTTCTCTCGTCGTTTCGATGCGTCATACCGCGAAGCCCATGAGAGAGTCAAGAAGGGCGAATTTGGATCTCCGGTGCTTTTTCGATCTCAAACAGCAGATCTGTACGATTCATCAGGGTTCTTCGTCGAGTACGCGAAGACGAGTGGTGGTATTTTTGTGGACTGTTCTATTCACGACATTGACCTCATGCTTTGGTTCCTGGGAGAGAATCGCAAGATCAAGAGCTTGCAGGCAGTTGGTGTTTGTGCCGTTCATCCAGGGCTAGAGGCGAGCAATGACCGGGATAATGCAATCGCGACTGTGGAGTTTGAGGGTGGGAAGATAGCGGCTTTGTATTGTTCGCGTATGATGGCGGCTGGGCAGGAGGACACCTCAGAAATCATCTGTGAGAAAGGTTCTGTGAGGGTGAATATGCAAGTGAGGAAGAATCATGTTGAAATTCATGACTCACAGGGGGCCAGACGTGAGCTGCCACAGCATTATTATGAAAGGTTCCGGGAAGCATTCATTACTGAGGCTTATGAGTTCACAGCTTGCTGCCTGGATAACATACCACCTCCAATAAGCTTGCAAAGCTCCGTCAAGGCAGTTTCTATCGGGCAAGCATTGCAGCGAAGTCTTATTAGCGGCGAGAAGATTTTCTTTGATGGAAGAACCATCAAAAACTAGATTAACCGCTTATTACCCGGTACCACCTTGTCCTATGGTTTTCATCAGGTACATAGAGAGCACAGATTTCTTCAGCTTCTTAGCCAAGATAATGATGCCACTTCGTATATTCCGCTCCTCGAACAAATGCTACGGAGACTTTTGTGGAGAACCAAAAATAGCTTCGTGATGTGGGGTTATACCAAGACTCTTAGGGTGGTTGCAAGGTCGGGTCAGACGTACTCATCAGCATCTCCGAGGTCTCTTCCCCTCAGAAAAAAAGCCTTTGTTGGCACAGATCGGAGCTTGAATAGTATCTACTCAACTGTCGGGTCGGGAATACAGGTCGGTAAGTTGGCTGACAAAGGGTTGGCTGACTGTATCCTGCTGTTGGGAGGGGGTTAGGTCTCCGAGCACCAATCAATATCATATCATAAGCACCCCGCATTCCGTCGCTTTCCCCTACTGGGTCCCGTAGCTGGGGAATATTTGCCCCGACGTGGATAGGAGGCTGCTGACGCTATACAGGCCAATAGGATATATTTCATTTCCCATCATGACAACATTGCAGCTGCACAGGAATATAATTTCCGACGGCGCCTGCCGTACTATTGAATGGGAAAAAAATATGCGAATAGATATCACAGGTCAGTCAAATCTCCACGTAGAAAGCTTATCACTTCGTCTCACCTATCAGACTACTACTGAATAGCCGATTGCCATAGTGTGTTTCCAGGTGGTCTCGGAGAGAAACCCCGAGTCAAGTATCCCCTCCCGTACTGGTAGTTTGTCAAATAGAGGCCAAGATGAAGGGATCTCAGAAACGAATCTCTCCGCCATAACTCTTTCAAAAACATACGAATATTCTCATGAAAACTACGGAAACGAGTTGTGAACATTGGGCAGTTACAGCTACTGTATCCTGCCTGACTTGATTTTCAAATGCTCTATGAGAGCCAGAAACACCGAAGAGTATCATTTTTAAGCACATATTTCTGAAAAGGAAATAGCATACTGCTCAAAAATTGAATTAGTTCTAAGATTTAACGAGCGAACTAAAAGCATAAATTGGGATGCCGTGTTGGCCATTGGAGCGGCTTCAATACTTTGCATCCATGTCATACACATATGAACACTCAAAACTTAGAGGAAAATCCATGGAGAGGAGCTATCACCATCTCAGAACCTTTGTTGGGAAATACTCATCAATGAGTTCGAGATAGTAAGGCTACAATCACGTTAGCACACAGCTTTGTAACGTGGTGTTATGTAGAAATGATTCTCACCTTCAACTCTTCAACATTTGGCACCTCATCACTCTTGGAGTATAAGTCATACGGATTGAAGGCCCGTACAGCTTCAAGCATCTTCTTGTCATGTTCATTCATAAGCTCATGATAGGCGTTCTCGCGATGCCACGGATAAAACGAGTGGTATCGAATCATAGCAAGTCCCTCGTCGGGAATGGTCGACTGATCCTTGACAATATGATAAAGGTATTCATCATGTCCCCAAGAGAGCATGACATTCTCTAGACCACAGCCAGGGGAGTAGATACCGAACTTGGTGCTGTAGATTGGGTGCTTAAAATCCTCATTCTCCTTGAAAGACTCAGTCCCGTAGATGATTCTATCATCGAACGCACACCCGACGGGGAAGGTGTCTCCAACCACGTCCCATTGGCCCTGAGCACCGAAGAAGAAAAGGAGCTTGCCAAGATCATGGATCAACCCAACAAGTTGCATCCAGCGTGGCTTGCCCTCTTTGCGGATAGCTTCAGCGGACTGGAGCAGGTGTGTCATTTGAGATTCTTGGGTATCAGGGTCACATTCGTCAATGAACGTGTTCAGCTTCTCCATTGCTTCCCAAACAGTCATGTATGCGCGGGTCTTGTTGTGGAAGTCATTACGGGCCTTTAAGTTGAACGCCACCGTTTGTAGGGTGTGCTGCTGAGTATAGAAATTCTTGACTCGCTCACAAGCATCGTTGAACTGGCGGAAGGTTGTCTTGTCCTTGGCTTTGTCGAATTCGGACTCAACGTACAGGTCCGTTGCGGCTTGCTGTGCGTTTGCCTTGAGGAC